AAATCCAGAGCAATATCAATATCAGACCATAATAATAAATGGATTGTATATCACACACGAAAAATTGTTAAAAGTAAAGAAGAGTTCTACTTAATAGGTCAAAGAAATAAGTATGATTATCAAGTTCACCTTGTGGTTTTTTGGTACTGAATCTATACAAATTTCATAAGGAATTACTGTCTGGTTAATTATTCTGTCTTTTGCATCAATTCATGCGTTTGAATTCACATGATGTATACACATCAAGATCAACCAAGAATTTTTTTTAAAGATACTGCAAAATTACGAGGAGAAAACAAATCAATTTGAACAATTTATCAAATTTAGACGAAAACAAAAATCATCGTTCGACGTTTTCTTTAAAGTACCATGGGCTCATTATTAAAAACGCGAATATAAACGAGGATACACAAAGTTAAACCCTTTAATATAATTTAAAGTCGGTCACGTGATATTCTAAAAGAATAAATATTGACCGAAACGGATACATTACGAGGCAGCGATATTAACAAGTACAATTTGCATATGGTAATAGGATGGCCGAATGGGTGAATTGTTGAATAAGTACGTACAATTTTTTATGTTTTAAATACAACTTTCAAAATAGCATCACAAGAAATGTAAGTAGGCCTAAATTGCTTAGGTAAATTTCTATAGTATAAGCGTTTTTATTTTTAAACTAGTCTCATAAAAGCAAAAAAGAACATTAAACGAAAGAGTGCTCTCTATATATACTTATTTAGATAAGCTCATAGTAACTGCATCCATCATATTGGGAGAAGTAGCTAGAAAGAACGCTCGCTCTTGTTTCTTCATTCAGCTCGCATACTCCGTCTTTGTAATTGATGGACTTGCAACCAACTTCATGAATGCATTCTGCGGCGCAACGGAGCTTGGTTTTCGCTAGCACTGTCTTTATCACGTGATCAGTTAGACAGTGGCCAATCAGAGGGCGTCCTTCGTTGTCCTTAGCAAGGGAGAAGAAGCCTGGAGATTGGATGGTGGTTGTCGGTTTAACTATATTGTGAAGTAAAGATAAAGAGATAAACGACCATAACAAATATAAATACATTTATAACTACCGTTAACAACTAAATTATTCATAACGCTTGTAAATTTGATGTTTCAAAAAAAGTTTTTCGTAATCAAGAATAGTTAAATAAGGGCCTTTATTTGAATACTTTTAGATGTAAGCTTTATTTCTCAAGAAAGATAAAGCAGGTCAAATGAAATTGTCACATACTTAAAAAATTACAAAACTTGGTAAGGGTATGAATAATTTGGTTGAAAATTGCATACATACATACATATATGTAATATATGTTTATAATATTGACATATTTTAAAGACAATTACGTATTAATAATAATAATAATAATGGTGGCTTCTTTAATTGTGCACATGTCCGTCGCGTTGTGACGCTCCTGGCGCTGCCCAGATTATTACCCTGGATTTAGCAAGGCGGCCATTGCGGCGCTCTAGCATTTCAAGGAATTAATTCCTGCCAGGTACCCATTTACATCACCTGGCTTGAGTGTGGAAAATGTAGATCAGATGTCTTGCCAAAGGACATTAGTGCCGTGGTGTGACTCGAACCGCGGACCTTGTGATCGACAGTCCAGCGACGAATCCACTCGACCACGACACCTCTATATTAATCTCCGTAGGCATGGACAAAACAAACAGAACAAATTAAAAAACCAACATTCTTATTCTTAATCTTATTCTTATTCTTATTCTTAATCTTAATCTTAATCTTATTCTTATTCTTATTCTTAATCTTAATCTTAATCTTATTCTTATTCTTATTCTTATTCTTGTTCTTATTCTCATTCTCATTCTCCAAAATCATCCAATCCAAACAAAAATAATTAATTGAAGAAAAAAAGGGAGAAAAAAACTAATGAAACATGACATTACCTTCGCAAAGATTTCTATAAGATTGATCACATAGGACGTGGAACAAACTGGAGAAGTAGTGAGATAAGGTGACGCAGTTGTAGGTGCTACTGGCGGGAATTCCGATGTCTGCCCACCACCAACCTTTAAGAAAGCGAGCCATACAAACAAAAATACGAGGTAGAAGTGAATTTGTTTAGCTTCAGACATTTTTGCACCGAGCTGTCCTTAACCCACTCCAAATAGTGATAACCATGCATACCCCGCAGTTGAAATAGAAATAAAAACATATCCAGAACTCCTTTCGATGGAGGTGTTACCCCTGTATTAAACAAATCGTAGGTCCATGAAAAAGTGTTGGGTATATATAACCACATATGACGGTAATTATGTGTGCGACTGTCGCTTGTACAATTATATTTTAGATTTATGCACATAATATTTAGTTAGAGACGACTGTGATTCGACAAAACATTTTCAAAAATTGGATATGATATTGCCCTAAAGTTAGACGGATACATCATTACTCACATAATGATTAATTTCTGCATTTTGTAAAGAGTCGGGCTGGCCTGTCAAAATTTCAGATTTTTTTCCTGTGAAAGAATAATGACCTAAAAGAAATTCGCCCCAACTATTTTTCTGACATTCTGGGCTTTTGAATAAACCAACATTTCGTTGGCGTCTCATCGTTTCAAGCTGTTAATCAGATATACGACAGCTGCTATTTGGTTTGATTTATTTAGTCTTCAAATGAACATAACACGTTGGCGCTATACTTACTACTATTGATATCTAACTTAGTCCCGTCTTCACATGGGTAGGTACCCTCCATAGGTTTATACGTACATCCGACCCAGAAGCTTCCCTCATAGCCTTGGTATGTACTGGTGACAGCATGAAGCTCATCGTTACTATTGGGAACGAAGAGTGTCCCACCGATCGAGTTACATCGTGAAACCGCTTCGGAATATGTTATGATCCATTCATCGACCAAGTACTTGTAGCACCCGTGACCAATGCTCTCCCATCCATTGGGACATACTGCATCTTTAGGAAGAAATTTAGGGATTAAAAAACATGATGATGATGATGATAATAATAAAGATAATGATGGTAATGATGATAATAATACTACTCCTACTACTACTTCTACTAATCATGATAATATTAATGATAAGATTAAAGTTGTAAAATCTGTTTAAAAAGTTGTGGGCAGCAAGATCATATGGATGGTAAAAATCTCGTTAAATTCGTCATCAAGTTTTATTGGTAGGCCTATATTTTACGATTTTTCAGTTATTCTTATCGAAAATAAGACTGATTAAATCATTATATTTAATCAAAATTTACCCTACGATGCATTTTTATTTTACTTCCGATTTCTTTTTTACTCGAACTACTACACCCTAAATCAACATGTCAAAACGATAAATAGTGCATTTACGTGTGAACATAGTAATTACCTGTGCGTTGAATGGTTGAAGAAACAAGCAACATGATAAGAAAGACCAACATTCTTGGATCACACGACGTCACACTTATCGAAATGACACCCATTTTAGAGAAACAAAATTTGTCGAAAAGCCTTCGATCCCAAATGATACAAGATCTGATCAGATACTCTCGAAATGCGTCAGATATATATATATATCTAAACGTCAAACGTCGAATAGGTACTAATTGTTTCGTCCTTCGTCAAATATGAAAAAAACATTAAAAATGCATCCGTGTCAAGCATGGATACGGAGGGAACCAAATTACCTACATTTCAGGGAAGTTAAAGAAGAAGTCGTGTTTCGGATAAAGGTGGGAAATGACTTGCGAGCTTTTTCATTCTCTTTGTGTAGTATACCTTCACCCTTGTGGTCTGCTATCCACTTTCAAGACCCAGTTCAAGACATACCTATTCTACACGGCTTACAATGATTAGCCACTACTCCAGTCTTTCCAAGTTGAATCATGAAAGGTATTTCTTTAGACATATTTTGATCAGGCAACTACATACTGTCGCTCTACAAAATCCAAGACTGGATTTAATTCGATTGAAATGTGGAAGACTATCACCGTAGTAAAGTCACATGATAAGACTACAGTGCACTTTAGTAATGCCCTCATGAACTTTGCGACTATTGTAATGCCACATGAATGTGTATAGTCCCATAGTAGTCATGAGCAGTGCTTTTCCATTGCTTTCATTGTGTTTGTGAATGACAGGAAGGTTGAGTTTAATAATCTGTCACCATTTTGACGATTCCACAACTTCACAATATACACTCTTTTCATTATATCTCTACGTAATCATTCCCTAAAAGCTTCTAGAATTTTTTTTCTTCCCACGATACACTTGTATGCCCAGAACTCAACTTTACCTTAAATAATATGAACACAATTGAGTTCATTAGACCATGGACCTATGATTAGACCGAGCGATCCGAGCACGTAAACGCGTAGGATACGGGTGTGCATTATTAATTTTAATATGTGTTACGATCTCACTTTTGTGTCGTGTTCCTTATTAATTTTCTCCATTACCAAAATTGATAGAATTGTGTGAAGCTGCATATTTTATGGCTCTATATAGAACCACATTTTTGAAATGGTAATGAAATCCTAAACGTTCAATTAATTCAATTAAAAAAGATCTGATCGTGGAACAAATTTTAAAAATAGAACAACTTTATATCTCACAGATAACCTTGGGCGTCTGAAGGGGAAATGGGGAAACGCCCCCGCCCCAAAAGGTTCTCAACCATTTCAATCGCTATGAAAAAAATCATTCTATGCAATTATAATGCTCTTGAACTGAAACCTCATAAATTTAGGGCCAGGGAGGTGATTTTGAAACTGTGTATCACCATCGGGTAGGATGTGTTGCAACCCCCCCCCCCCCCCCCCCCCGCCACGAAACCGATACCAACGAAATGTGATATCAATATATTGAAATAATTTTAGTCATGTTGATCAGGATGCTTATTTGTTTGAATATATATATATATTTTTTTAATTTATTATTTTTTTTTTTTTGGGGGGGGGAGGTTAGATATCTGCTTCTTTTAAATTCGAAGTTAGTATACAAAATGCCATCGATGGCTTGTTTTTAAACGCGTGTGTTGCACCCACCCCCTACCCCTCTCTCTATCTCTCTCTCTCTCTCCCCTCTCTCTCCCTCAAGCCATCCAGGGTCAAGGATTCGGTGCATTGCTGCCAACCCATTAATGGCCTCCAATATTGACTTCGAACCTGATCATGGGCACAGTGGACCCTGCACTGTTATGCTACTGCGCACTATATTTAGACGGTGATCACACAGTATACGTATAGTTAACGACAATATTCCGAAAGATTTCGTCGGGTTGAAGTTCAATTTTGAAGCATAATATGTGCAGCATCTTACGATTTTTGTCTTCATGCATGCATGCACATCGGCTGCTTCCGAGGATTGATTTCCGTTGATTATTTCAGCTACAAAGCGATCTTAGTATATCTCTACTGCTTTACCAGGGAACGAGTAACAAGTGGTGTCCAGACAGTCGAGGTATAGCCTAACTCATTTGCTTTTCAAGGTAAGCATTCATAATCACCACGTTTCACAAAAGCATAATATTCATTCACTATTCGTTAATTATACCTATACTTATTAAATAAAATATTAACGGTGGAAGAGAAAATAGGAATCTTGTTAAAGTCGATCGAATTTGCAATCAAAATGTCGAGGGGGTCGAATATCCTACCCATCCCGTGACATTTATATATTTGCACTTTATTATCCCCAACATCATTTTTATGTAAAGGAATTATCAAGTTTTTATAAAGGATCACCACGCCTTCAAGGTTACTTTATGTCGCAATCCTTCTTCATGAACGTTGGTGAGGTAGTAATAATTTGTTTATTATCATGATTATGTTGTACATGTTTAATGGTCTGTAACATTGGGGAAAGTCCATGAATAGAGAATTACAGAAATCAAAAGAAATTAATCATCATTATCATTACAAGGGTAATTTAATTCAGCGTAGCAACTTTTTTTATGTTGGGAAGGTTCGTGCAGCCAAAAATGAATATTAAAAGGAAAATGCGCTAACAAAGTGAGAAAGAAAAAAGAGAAGAAGAAGAATTCACATTACGCTACGTAAATTATTATACTCAATACGGCCTAGGATATACTTAAAACATAAACCAGCAAGAAAGAAAAAAAAACCCTGATTTATTCATATAGGCCTACTTATATGCAGGTTTACTGAAACGTTTAAAAAAAACATTAAGTTTATAGTATTGCCAATACATCCTCCCCGTTTGAAGGCCCTTTAAACCAAACCAAAGACAAGAAATCCGGCACATTTTCTCCATTTGGTACCCTCACCCCACCCCCCCCCCTCTCTCTCTCTCTCTCTCCCCCTCTCTCACTCTCTCTCTCTCTCCCCCCTCTCTCTCTTTCTCTCTCTCTTCTTTCTCTCTATATCTCTCTTGCTTCTTGCAACACATTTCTGGATGCGCCACTGTGTATTATCCATTTTTTTCAGTTATCGTGGAATAACTCATGATAAGAATCTCATCAGCGACATCACATAACGTAAACAGAAGCATTATTATGTCAAGTTCCCCCACATAATGCCATCTTTGAGTACAGTACATGTTGTGTGTATACAGAGATGCTATTCATCGCTGTGTAACATGATCCATTGGCGCCATGTAGATTTGCCGGAGGACAAAGTGAATGCTTTCACAGTAGAATCGTTCGCGGCGCCGTGTTACACTTACACCCTCAGTCACACCATCGCAATTATTCCGCACCGGCCCTGTAACTATCGATCTCTTGGCCATAAGGGTCAATGTATTTTTTGGCTCTGTCTCTTGTCGGTATGGCGTCGGTCTTTGTCGTGTGACCAGGGTGTAAATGCACGGTTTACATCCTTGAGTAGGCGATCGAAACAGATTCACGAAGTGTTTTTTTTTTTCTTCTTTCATGAATAACTATTAGGCTTTGAATCCAGACCTGAGTTTGGGGAAAAAACGGAGAAAGGGCTTGATCGCGAATGAGAAAGAGAAGTGACACACGCGCAAAATATAGATAGATAGTGAGAAGGGAGAACTGAGGAGAGATAGGGGAGAAAACTCCCATATATTTCAACAATTACACACTATAGAACAAAGTACAGCTATATACTATTACAATCCTTCAGAAGATAACAAATTAGGCCATAAAAAAAATAATTTGTTGGGTTGTCCTCGATTGCTATTCTGGAGTAGGGGCGGGCAGGCGGATTTTTTTTTTTTTTTTTTTTAATTATTTTTTTTTTAACCTAATTTTTTTTTGTGTCTGTTTTTGATTTTTTTTGTTTTTAATAATCTTTTTTCCTTAAAAAAAAAATCATTGGGATTGTCAAGCATTTAAACAAACAAAGTCTATAAAACACTTTAATATGGTAAAAGACTAGTTTAATGTACAATGAATATCAAGACCAACACAGAAAGTATTTTGGGCTTTGAAATACAGCACCTTTTAATTCGCCATTATACTACTTATAGCTTCTTGCGCCCTCTATGTAGCAAATAATGCCTAATCGGTGACCATTGGTCCCCCATTATCCTCTTTATCTTATATTAACTGAGAGCTGATTTGATGAGATAACCACATGTCCAGTGACCTTGCAGGGTGGTCTAATCCCTCCTGTTAACTAGTACAGATGGGCTTTAAAATGAGTCTAAGAATGCTCAGAACTTGATTTGAATGAACGACATTTTGACATAGAAAAATAAAAATGGCAAGTTCAATAAATACCTAAGTGCGTACTGAATAGACTAACTTGGCAACGGGACGCATTTTGATCATTGCAAATGCAAAAAATGGTATGTCTGGCATTTAATATTGCTCCCCCCAAAAAAATTGAATAAAAAAAAAAAAAATGAATAAAAAAAAATATATATATATTAAAAAAAATATAAAAAAATACGAGCGGCCCGAAAATGACGAGCGGGCGGTCGAGGACAACCAAATGATTTTTTTTGGCCTTAGAGGTAATTGTCGCGTTTAGGACGACAAGATAGATTTCCTAAACAACAACCACATCTCAATGATATTACTGTTCAGTAGGGCGACCCCTTTCGGACAGTTACCCTTCAATAACTCAATCAAAACATTTTTTAAATGCTTACATAAAATTAATACCAAATGACATTGCAATATTACATAGAAAATGAAACTTATTTGTGATTATGCAATATTAATTAATGTCGATAAGTAATCAAAGCATTTATGACACAAGATACATATCCCAATTCAAGTCGAATATTGAAAGAAACTGATAAATCCACCAAAAAGCAGAGCTTTATTTGTTAGGATTACTCCTAAAAGAAGAAAAAAATAGTTTTTTATATAATTTTATTATTATTTTTTTTATCTCAGGGGTGCTCGAAGATAGTTGTCCGGATTCAACTGACAGTTAACTATGCCTTTTATCAAATAAAAGGCTCGCCCTTGTAATCACCCAAAGGAAATGTTAAAGATCTGACTTTTGCAATTAGGTTCAGCCAATATCATCATTATCTGGGGGAAAAAGCGCGAATGCGTTACTCGCATAATTCCTAGATTCATCTACAATGAATATAGCAGCCCAGGCTTTGATGGAGTATATCTTTCTATGTATAAAAACGAAAACAACCCATCATTTACTATTTACCCCTAATTTATGTATTTTGCTTGTACATCCACTTAATTGTCAGGGCTCACAGGGCCATCAAGCTAATTTGCTTATCTTGGTGCCCTTGACAGTTCTGTTTAACATAAGTCCATATTTCTTTATTTATGTTCTAATATATACTGATGTTATTTTGTAATCAGAAATGAAAATAAATAAATTAAATTAAATGTACATATCTTTAAATTTTTGTTGTTACAGATTTTGGAGTCTACAAAGCCGCAACATGGAGCTCATAAAGAAACGTCTACAGGATAATGACATTACCTCGGTTCGTTTCGAACAATCTGACATGTATGGGATCCCACACTGCAGATCCATTCCAACCAGGCATTTCGAAAGGATGGCAACGAAGGGAGTTAACATCTCCATGGGTTTTATGGCTTTCGACCCCAAGGGCCAAGTCGCCAAGAACACTGGATATGGGGAGGAGATTCACAACGCTGATTGCCTCGCCTTTCCAGACCTGGATACCTTTCAGATCTTGCCTTGGTGTACGAAGACGGCTAGGGTCTTGATAGAAGGGGTTTACAATGGTGAGAAGGTGGCTGTCTACCCAAGGGTTGTGGCTAGACGACAGTTAGAAAGGCTGGAGAAACACGGGTTGTCGCTTTGGTCGGCGCACGAGCACGAGTTCTTTGTGGTCAAAGAAGACACCCTGAAACCGTTGCATGATCAGACAAATGCCATTGCGGTTATTCCCATGGCCGCGTACGAGTCGTTTTTCCAGCAGATACTCAATGACCTACCTCAGGCTGGTGTTGACGTTGAATGCTACGGTGTTGAATCCGGGCAGGGACAACTGGAAATCACCTACCGCCCAGAGTTTGGGATCAAAGCTGCCGACACTGCTCACACGTACAAGCTGGGTATCAAGGAGATTGCAGTGAAGCACGGATTAGTGGCAACGTTCATGTCAAAACCATGGCCGGACGTAGCTGGTAGTTCAGCACATTTCTGCCACTCGCTCTGGGACGTTGACGGGAAGGTGTCCAAGCTCTATGATGCTGGAAGCCCGACTGGGTTGTCGGAGATTGGGCAACACTGGGTGGCTGGACTCCTTGCTCACGCCCGAGCCATAGCCGTGCTGATGGCACCAACAACCAACTGCCTCAAGAGATTCAAGCGGCATTCTTTTGCTCCTTGGAACGCCACATGGGGTCCCGACAACCGAACCTGCGCCATCCGCGTCAAGGCAAACGGCAAAACTGGCACATACGTCGAGAACCGGATGGGAGCCAGTGCATGCAGTCCTTACATCAGCATGGCTGCGACTATTGCAGCAGGTTTAGACGGTATCATCAACAAACTCCCGCTTCCAGAAGGCATCGATGGAGCAGGGGATGCATACGAGGAGGAATACATCCCACACGGAACACAGACGCTACCGGACAACATGGAAGAAGCCATTGATGCCTTGCTCTCTGACGATGCTATCACTGCGGCCCTTGGACCAGAGTTTATCAAGTGCTTCGTTGCTACTAAAAGGCATGAAGTGAAACTAGAAAAGGAGGCCATTTCAAAAGGAACAGTTGAGGAGTGGGAGAGAGATTACCTCTTTTTCATTATGTAAGAAGAGTGTCCAGTCGGTCTTTTGAACCAATACCCTTTTAAAGTTAGATTATGTGTATCCTTTAAAAGCAAGTTAGACGACAATTCTTAGTATCCTTTATCATATAGTTTTAGTGTGTACTGTCAATCAAAGGGATATTGCTGTTTTTCTCAGCAATCGTATTTTACATGTATTATACAGCTCAAATCATTTGGTTTGAATTTCAATGTCATATAGTTTGCTGGGGCGTAACGTGGTAATCTCAGGTCAGTACTACCTCGACTACTTACATGTTAACAGACTTTCAAACGGTACCGTCAGATGATAAAACTAACGATGCCAATAATAATATAGGTTTTCTCGGCCAATTTCGCACTTCATTAAATTTAGCGCAAACACCATTTTCGGTTGGGACTGTCATTCAAAAATGCACTTCAATCATTCAGTTTAGAGTATCGGACAAGGAATTTCGCACTTTTATCATTTTTATTCATTCCGTCTAGTGCGTGTGTCAAGATTCATTCGAATCCATTGGCACTTGCCAGAAGGTGATATCGGGCATTCAAATTCGCGAATGGGCAGTCAATTTGGCAACATGTTCATTTAAAGTAACATGTATATTGTTTATGTAGGCCCTATCTATTTGTTCTTCTTTAGTTCCCTAGAAATGAACTGATATTGATTTATCCCGTTCCATTTGCATTGTTGATACCAGACGCATTTTAATCATTGATTAAAAAAAAAAAAAATCGACTCAAATATCCAAAATTAAAATGAAATATATAAACCATACAGTATTACAATATATAATAGAACAAATGAATTATACAAGTAACAAATACTGGTAAGTATCTACGAAACAAAATAAGTTTACAGAGTACATTTAAGTTTTAGAATAAGACAAAATGTATTAACTGAGAGGGGGAGAGAATCTCAGTCATGCTAGGCTTGTTGAGCGAGATGAATTAAGTTCTTGTAAATGTATTTTATGTATCCCTATTTTCGTCACCTCTCAAAGCTATATTACATCAGATACCTGAAATATTGTTTGCCAAGTACTTGAAAACAGCTACAGTGTATTAATTGATAAAGGAAATCTAACCCATGAGTGGTAAATAGATCAATCAAAAATGTTTAAAGTCCATTTAGTGTCTCTAAAACAATCTACAAATCATTCCTGTTTGGTAAATGTTAAATACTACGGTGTGTTCTAGGCAACCTCTTGTGCTGGCGCGTTTCCTTGACGTCTATATCCACGTTTTTTTCTTTTTCTTTCCAGGCAGGTAAATAAATCTGAATTCTTTTTTTAGTACATTTTATATGATGTCATCGTATTGTACCAAATATACAATCTTTGTATCTAGTATCTTCTATGCTTGTCTTTAACTTTAAAAGCAATTATACTTAATAACCTGATTGGTATCATTTAAATCAAGTTCTTGACTTATTATATATTGCAAAATTTAAAAAAAATATATATAAATCAGCTTTATACATCAGCTTCTTAGTAGTTGAATCCTATTTTTGTTCTAGCAATCACTCTTATCTTAGATATAATTTTGATTTGGATATTTTTGGAGTAATAATGCTACAAATGTTGTTTTTGTAACGTGTTTATGTAATAGTATCTTTTTCATTTTCTTTCGTAGTTTGTTCAAAGCGTAAATATTTGTGATAGTGTGTATAACAGCTCTACAAATAGCTCTAATGTTGCCTTTTTTTTTCGTTTGTAAATTATGTCTTAATATCTTTCGTAATCATGTATGTGTACAGTGTTTATGTACACGGGGCTCCGTCGTGATGTGAAATAGTTTTTAAAATATGAGTGAAAGAAAAAAATATATGCGGTGTGGGAGTGGGCGTGTGTATAGGTATGTGGACCTACACATACGTATAATATAGTATACATGCGTAATGTGATGCATGGTTTGCATGTACAATGATTATGAGAATTCCGTCTAATTACTTTTTTGCTACATTAATCTGGTATTTTCTGTATTTAAAAAAAACAAAAATCGATGTTGTTTTTTTAGCAATCACCAGGCATCCAATATTTTTTAAAATTATTAATATCATAATCATCATTTTTGTATGCTTTTATAATGTTGTTCATTTTCGGTGTATGTGAACTTTTGATGTTGTGTTCCTGGATACTTAATAAATACAAAATATTGAAATGATAATAATAAAGACCTTGCTACACAACCTTTTCCAGAGTGAATAATGCATAATTTTAAACATCTCATATTATCACTACATCTGTGGAACAAGGAAAGTGGCAGACTTTTCATGTCATTATGATGGTTCGACAGGCGCGTACACAGGGGGGGGGGTTAAACCCCCCCCTCCCTTTGGTAATTTTTTGTGTGTAAACCCCCCCTAAAACCTAAACCTAAAAAACCTAAACCCCCCTAGACCTAAAAAAGCTGACCTTACCCCCCCCCCCCCCCCCCCCCCAACGGAGCAAAATGTCAAATTTTCTAATTTCGAGACCAAAAAAAAAAAAAAAAATGTGTCCTCTGCGTACGCGCCTGTGGTTCGAGATTATGAAACTAAGGGAAAAACAAAGCGTTATAAATTATAATTAGATCGGAAGACCCCGTATAAATTATGTTCAAGCAAAAACCATCGGTACACATAATATGCAATCGTATTTGTACATGTACATGCGCCCCTACATTATGTATAGTTTTGTATATGGCCATATGGGGTTGGTTTATGCGAATAATTAAGACGTATACAAAAAAAAAGAGATACAATTTGTCACATCTTTCTAAATGTAAAACTATTCATAGATATTCTTATTTGTGTACACCCTTGAAACACTGAATGATATTACCGAAGAAAAGATAAATGTATAAAATGAAAATGCATTGACAACATGAAGTTTTGTCATATACAACGCATCATAGCAAAAGCTCAAAAGACCTCGTTTTCAAGAAAAAACATCTGGGCACATAGTATTCAATGTTATTTGCACTGTGAACATGCTGGACAAAATGACTTAAAATGATCTTGCCATGCAATTAATGTCTTAAATCCCAGCGAAATGTCTTAAAACAGTCCATTTTCGATCGCGGACCCAAACGGTCTTATTGTGATCTTATGGCATTCTTTTTGAATAAGATCATTAAAAGACTAGTTTCAGGCTGTTCGCATACAACATGGGCCTATGACGAAGGTCGTGAGCCTTATATTAGTTTGACAGTTATACTCGGTCACTATTCAAAGCAAGACGACTAATAACGATCTTAATTTTAACTCATTTTGACTTGGTGGAAGTCCGTGGTTCGGAAGACCCGACCACTAAACTGAATTAGGTTTTCATACACGTTGAACCATCTTTTGGTTTCTCTCTCTCTCTGCTAAATAATCCAAACAACATATTCAACCAAGTAGAATCATTATTGTCAAACGAATTTGTCCTGAAATTTCAAGTTGTTACTGCACGTCATAGTAGAATTACAAAGAACAATGTCGAACGATTGTCGCTAAAATTCAGAAGATGTTGATTAGATTGCTTTTCCCTGAAAATTACCATGAGACATCAAGGTATATAGAAATATGATCGACAAACATGATATTGTCTTGAAAACATTCAGAAAACATGCTGCTATTACTAGTACAAATACTACATTAATTATGTCATATTGTCTATTGTCATGATTGAATTCTCTACTTAGTTCCTTTTTCTATTTTATTTAATTCAAAATACATATTCTATTCGAGGTAAAAGGAAGGCAATGACATATGAGAGAGAGACAGAGAGAGACAGAGAGAGACAGAGAGACATAGAGAGAGACAGAGAGAGACAGAGAGACATAGAGAGAGACAGAGAGAGAGAGAGAGAGATACAAAAAAGCGCTAGGGAAAGCATAGCCTGCGTTCAAACTCAGTATTCGTTAAATCATCGTAAATCATACATTCACCCTAAATTTGATTATGGCAAATATGTTTTTATACAACCACTGTATGAAACAAATCTTTTCCGCCAACAGTAACTGAGAAAATGAAAGTTTATGAAATCTTATGTATAGAGCAAATTGGAGTTTATGTTTCACTGATGGCTGGCTTACAATTTTAACAAAAGCACAGTCAATAAATTGTTATTGAAACATAGAACGGCAATTGTACATGTTTACATCATATAAAATAGATATTTCCTCTCCCACTCTCCGCATTGTCCTTTGGCTATTGCCTCCTTTTCCAACTTAATATCGTGTCTCTTTGCTGCCACAAAGCATTTGATGAACTCAGGGCCGAGTGCTTCAATGATGACTTTGTCTTCCAGCAAAGCTTCCACTGCCTCTTCCATGGTCTCAGGTAGCTTCTGAGTTCCTTCTGGAACATGCTCGTCATTATACGCATCTCCTTCACCATCAATGCCTTCTGGAAGCGGGAGTTTCTTGATGATACCATCTAATCCTGCAGCAATGGTTGCGGCCATACTGACGTACGGATTACATGCGCTTGCTCCTATCCGATTCTCGATGTAGGTGCCTTTTTCTCCTTGTTCCTTGACCCTGATGGCGCAGGTTCGGTTGTCAGGACCCCAAGTGACGTTCCAGGGAGCCATGGAATTGCGTCTCAATCTCTTGAGGCAGTTTGTGGTGGGTGCCATGAAGACGGTGATAGCTCTGGCGTGCTCAATGAGTCCAGCCACCCAGTACTGTCCAATCTCCGACAAACCAGTAGGGCTAGAGGCATCGTAGAGTTTCGGAATCTTACCATCAGCATCCCAGAGCGAGTGGCAGTAGTGCGCTGATGAACCGTATTGATCTGGCCATGGCTTAGACATGAACGAAGCGATGTATCCGTGCTGAAGTGCGATCTCCTTGATTCCCAGTTTGAAGGTATGAGCTGTGTCGGCAGCCTTGATCCCAAACTCTGGACGGTAGGTGATCTCCAACTGTCCTTCTCCGGCTTCACACCCGAAACACTCGATGTCAACACCAGCCTTAGGAAGATCGGTGATAACCTGCTGGAAGAAAGAATCGTAGACCGACGAGCAAACTGTTGCTAAACAGAATGTCTCAGAGTCCATTGGCTTCAGAGTTTCTTTGTTCACGAGGTAAAATTCGTGCTCATGGGCTGACCAAATGGACAGATCTAACTCCTTCAAGCGCTCAAGTTGTTGTTTGGCAACAACCCTAGGGTAAACAGGTACCTTCTGCCCATTGTATTCTCCTTCGATCAAGACCCGAGCAGTGTTGGAACACCATGGTAGAATCTGGAAGGTGTCTAGGTCAGGGAATGCCTTGCAGTCAGCATAGTGGACCTCTTCGCCATAGCCGGTGTTCTGAATAGGCACCCCCTTCGGATCAAATGCCATGTAGGTAAGTGACATGTTGACTCCACAGGTAGCCATATGCTCGAAGTGTTTGACCGGGATAGATCGATTATGAGGAATTCCGTAGGTCTGCGATTGTTCAAATCGGACAGTCTTGATGCCATTTTCTTTCAGTGATTTCAAGATCTTTTCCATGATTACTACAAAAGTTTCTAAATAGCCTCCTAGAGTAAAGAGAAAAAAATAGAAAAAGATGTGTGTTTGTATGTGTGTGTGTGTGTGTGTTTGTTTGTGGGTAACTTGGAAACTGCTAACCTTGAAAAAGTGAATATCAGACAACGCAAATACCTGTAAAATAGCGTATCAAGAAATTGGGTTTGCTTGGTGGAGCAGATCCCGTGCCTCCAAAGAAAGATAATTGTTATTTAACAACGTCACGTATGCTTCCTAGACGCTACCCGCCGTGTTTTTTAATTTGTCGTGCCGACCTAATTACTTCGTTCCATTGGTTCTTCGCGTCGAGTCGGGCTGTTGCGTCGTTACACAACTTTTGTGAAAACATTCCCATCTTTTTTGGTTTGCTTACATCTTGTGCTATAGACATCAACTTACATTTTTACTTCAGATGTGAGCGAAATACAAAAATGGAATAAGTAATCTTTAAATCATTTTTGCAATTTTTCAAAACATCTTTCCCGATATAATGTCGACAGAAAATGTTGCATTAACAACTTCATCACACATTAATTTCTCTAACATTTTGTGCATACACAGCGTAAATAGGGACTTTTAGATTTGCACAAATACAACGCGGATTGCTACGATCGACGTCCTTTTAATGCACTGCCTTGAATGGACGTCACACGTATCAGTCCACTCAAATCTAAAAGTCCCTGTTATGACCAAATTAACGCCCTAAACAAAACTTCTGTTCAACATTATTAGCAGGCATTCCTATTATCATGATTACTTCGAACAGACATCTATATCCACCTCAAACTATGCATTACCACTCACTTTGATACAGGGTTAAACTCAATATCTATTTCTATAAGCATTACTTACTTATAAAGACTGTCAAACAGTTGTACGAAAACCTTATCAACGGTAATCCGCTTGTGTCTCTAACACAGGCACAACAACAACATGCACTTCCCCCTTGAACGTGACAAATGTGCTTTCCCCAAACTTCAATACAAACATGTGTGTTAAAACACTAACGTGGGCGGCGTATTACACAACCAATTATCCATCCGCGAAACCGTGTGTAATATGTGTAATGAAGTAATTTGCATCATCGGATAAGTCCGCGATCTGCATCAGATATAAACTAGTCCACATTCCCATAGGCTACCACCCAAAAAAGTGAGGATTTTTTTTTACATATTCATGTGTACATCAGTGCTTATGTTTCTGGTTATCTTTATCATATAGTATTGTCAATAATTTGTTACTACATGTATTCATTGCAGAAGTAATATACAGTATATATACATAAGGTATCTATACTGTATATTAATTATGCCATAAATTGAGCATGTTAAGAGGCTCCAAAGTTTAGATTTCAACATTGAGCTGGAAATTAAATAAAACTAATGCCAATAAAAATGAAAGCATTTCAAGTTTATATCAAATATAAACTAACAAGCAAAAATAATGATATTAAATGAAATGAATATCACTGAAACAAAAAAGGCTGTTCTTTCGCAGGTCCGTGCACAATAAAAAAAAAAATGTACAATTTTAAAATAACACATGGGCTATCATAACATAGAAATATTGAAAATCAACAAAGAACATAATTAAAAAGAAGAAGACAAAAGTAAAATAGAGAAGAAGATATGTTACTACCACCCAACCTACCCCCCCCCCCCATCAGCAATCAGCAATCAGTTCTCTTCAATCAACGTTTTTTTTTTTAATTTGTTATAGTTATACTTATATAAATAAATATTTAAGTGTAAGGTGTAGTTGTTGAAGTTGTTAAGCCTTAAGGTAAAATGTCGAGGATGGAGGAAGTGGGTATCAGGAAGGAGGGAAGGGGTGAGAGAACTTTAAAATCGTAAGAGATCTTGGGTTTACAATTTCAATTCCACTTGTTTACTTTTCTACTATATTTCTTCAATCTCAGCAACCCCTCCCCCCATGTGAAACAAACAATTTCCCCAGATTACCAATCATCCCGTTTAGAAGACACTGACAAAAGGCACTAACTTAAAAGTGGTTGTATTTCAAGCGGCAGCCGAAATCCAATTGGATAGCTAGACGGACAACGGGGTTTTATACATCAAATTATCGTCAGATGAGCATAATAATTTTATAACTTATTTGTGACACTGGCAGGTCACGAATTGGCGAAGGGTCTAGGGGGCGGAGCCCCTGAAACTCAGGGGTTTTAGGCAATAAATTACGGTCAGATGAGCATATTTTTATACCGTATTTTTGACACTGGTAGGACACAAATTGGTGTTGGGTCCAGGGGGCGGAGCCCTCAGAAGCTCAGGGGTTTTATACATCAAGTTTTCGTCAGATGAGCATAATTTTATACCTTATTTGTGACACTGGAAAGACACGAATTGGCGTGGGGTCTATGGGGCGGAGCCCCCGGAAGCTCAGGGGTGTGAGGCAATAGATTACGGTCAGATGAGCATCCAGGGGCCCACCTTAGGGCCATTGGTTGGGTTCGGGGGTGGGGGGGGGGTGGCAGAGCCCCGGAAGCTCAGGGCTTTAGGCATTTAATTATGTCAGATGAGCATAATTATACATTATTTGTGACACTGGCATGTCATTAATTGGCATGGCGTCCAGGAAGCGGAGCCCCCAGAAGCTCAGGGGTTTTAGGCATTGTATAACGGTCAGACAAGCATGCAGGGGCTGCCTTAGGGCCCCTGGTGGGGTCGAGGGGGTGGAGCCCCGGAAACTTAGGGGTTTTACGGTCAGATAAACATATTTTGATACCTTATTTGTGACACTGGAAGGACACTATTAAATTGGCGTGAGGTCCACGGGGCCGAGACCCCAGAAGCTCACGGGTTTTAAGCGTTAAATTACCGTCATATTAGCTTCCAGCCATCCGCATTAGGAGCCTAGGTGGGTCCAGGGGGCAGAGCCACCCGAAGTCAAGGGGTTTTAGACATTTAATTACGGTCAGATGAGCATATTTTTATACCTTATTTGTGGCACTGGTAGGTCACTAATTGGTGTGAGGTCCAGGGGGCAGAGCCCCCAGAAGCTCAGGGGTTTTAAGGCATTTTAATGGGGGAGGAACACTTTTTCTATGTGCTTCTGTGTGCTTCCTTTCTTTTTCTTTTTGCCAGGGGGGGGGGGGCGCCCCCCCCCCCCTGGAGTCGCCTCTGGTTCGTGCACTCCTTCATCGGTATACTTTTGTACATGGCCATATGGAATTTGGTTTATGCGAATAATTAAGAACAAAGAAATACAGTTTGTCACATCTGTCTAAATGTAAAACTATTCATAGTTATCCGTATATGTATGCACCCTTGAGACACTGAATGATATTATCAAAGAAAAGATTAATGTATAAAATCAAAATGCATTGAAAACATGAAATTCTTTCATACAACGCATTATATAGCAATAGCTCAAAGGACCTTGTTTTCAAGAAAAACAATCTGGGCACATTGTATGCAATATTATGTGTATGTATAGGCCCCCTACATCTGTACAGCTTCATATCATGTACATGGGGTGGTTTTAAGCGAATAAGTAAGACGTATACTGAAGAAAAAAAAAGAAATACAGTTTGTCACATCTGTCTAAATGTAAAACTATTTCTAGATATATTTATTTTCATACACCTTATAAAACAATTAATGATATCAATATGGAAAGATTGATATAAAAATTAAAATACATCGAAAATACGATATTATTTTCCCATTCAAGTCAAGTGCGGCGATGTCTTGTAATAGGGACTTTTAGAATTGCACGTTGACAGCCTTGAGTGCAACGTGTGACGTAATTTTAAGGCACTGCGCATGCGTCACGTCGTCTCAGTCGGCGATCGAGAATGCGTCAACCTTGATTTTCCTAAATCGAGTACGGTACTAGTATATGCCGCGTGCGCATAAACTATACAGTTCCTCAGGTAGACAAAGGAACATCCCTTCCCTGCTATTATGTAAAAATGTGTAGAACAGGTGTTCACCTGTTCTACACATTTTTACATAATAGCATTGAAGGGATGTTCTACCACGTAGCAATAGGCCATTTTCGTAATGTTACCAAATTTAATGCACAGGTCTTTGTGAAGTGCCTCAACACAAACTATTTCATTCACCTGATAGGAATAATAGTATTTCAATAGACAGAATCCTAACTGCATTCATTATAGTTGTTGCCAGCTAGGTTGGACAAACATTATGGCTTGACCTACCTAGCAACACTTAATATATGCAGTTGCATTCTGACTCTTGAAATACTATTATTTCTATCAGATGAATTAAATAATTTGTATTGAGGCACTTCACAAAGACCTATGCATTAAATTTGGTTACATTACGAAAATGGCCTATTGTTGAGAGTAGAATGAGGAACTGTATATTTTGTCCTCTTTCTTTGTCTGTCATGTTCATATAGTGTTACTTCCTACATGCATGTATATCGTTGAGTGCAATCTAAAAGATTTCTAATTGTAGTCAACATGGGCAGTTGAGTACGTTGACACGCATGGTCAGTTGGCGTTCGTCGTGTTCTCGTCCACTCATTCTAAAAGTCCCTAATGACAGGCAGACAGGCCGGGGGATAGCGACACTTGAGTATTAAAGCTCACTATGAACATGACTGACAATGAGAGAGGACAAAATATACAGTTCCTCAGGTAGACAAAGGAACATCCCTTCACAGCTATTATGTAAAAAGGTGAATATGCATGTGACACCTGTTCTACACATTTTTACATAATAGCAGTAAGGGATGTTCCTTTGTCTACCTGAGGAACTGTATATTTTGTCCGCTCTCATTGTCAGTCATGTTCATAGTGGCTAACGATATTTTTTACAATAGGATTTCGCGTTTCGCAGAATAAAACTTGACATGGTAGTGACACGTAAATTATGTTCATCATCATTTTGTTACGTGACATAGCAACCGAGAGTAAACATTTCATATTTTCTAGAATCTAGAATTTTAGACTTTTAGAGCACTAATGATCGCACAGAAAAAGTCAAAGTCCGTATCTTTTCTCTTTGCTCCTAATGGGTTCCTAGAGCATTAAATCATAAATTTCCCCCTCTTTTTCCCCTCTCGAAGTGCTCTTCCAAATTTTAGGGATACCACCCCTTGAAGAAAAAAAATCCAGGTAGAGGCATCCCCAGCCTTCCCGTACCCCTTGAACCACCGATTCTGCATATCGTGATACAGGCACTTTGCGAAATTTGCATTCTCTATGTTCTTGTTAACATACAATGGAATCTCTCTATATATGTATTTCCTACGGTTTTAATATCTAACTAAAAACATGATTATATTTCTGGAAAGAGTGAGACGTAGTATTCCAGAGGGCTATAGACAGAAAATATAATGTGCTGTAGCTGAAAGTCAGTATTTGCTCCACTTTTTTTTTTTTTTTTTACTTTTCTCTCGACATTTTCGAGAACGACCCTCCCTCCGAATATTACCATAACTTTATTAAATCCATGATTCAATTTGATTTACTTCGAAACTAGCAAATGAATACAAATCTTTTAACAATTACTTGCAACATCTTTTAACAATTACTTGCAACATCTTGCATTTACCGTTTATCGATCATGAGGGGACAAATGAGAATGAATAATTGATATTAATTCTATCATTTTGAAGCACTGTTAAAGGGGAAGTCCACTCTAATATTAAGTTTGTTTTAACAGGAGCAGAAAATAAGAGAAACAGGTCAGTGAAATATTGAGCAACAACCGATTAAAGATTAGGAAATCATGAATTGTTGAAGGTGCAATCATCATACACCAGTTGGCAACTCTGTGACGTATTTTTCGAGCTCTCCTCAAATTCGTCCTGTACTAAAAATAATGATTATATTTTCCCTTAAGAAACTGTTCAATCGTACATTCACCCTAAATATAATCATTGCAAATATGTTTTTATACAACCCCTGTATGAAACGAACCTATTCATCTATAACTAAGAAAATATAAGTTGAAAATCTTCTGTACAGAGCAAATTGAAGAAGAGCTCACAAGATACGTCACAATGTTGCCAATCTGTGTTTCACTGAAAACAATTTCGTAAATTCATAACTTTCCTTTTTTTAATCGGTTATTGCTCAAACTTTTACTAACTTGTTTCTCTTATTTTCTTATTTTGTTAAAACCAATGTAATATTCGGGTGGACTACCCCTAAGTGTCTAATTAAAACCCGGATGAATGATATTTCTCTGTCTGACTTACAATTTTAACAAAAGCACAGTCAATTGTTATTGAAACATAGAACGGCAATTGTACATGTTTACATCATATAAAATAGATATTTCCTCTCCCACTCTTCGCATTTTCCTTTGGCTATTGCCTCCTTTTCCAACTGAATATCGTGCCTCTTTGCTGCCACAAAGCATTTAATGAACTCGGGGCCAAGGGCTTCAGTGATGACTTTATCTTCCAGCAAAGCTTCCACCGCCTCTTCCATGGTCTCAGGTAGCTTCTGGGTTCCTTCGGGAACATGCTCGTCATTATACGCATCTCCTTCACCATCAATGCCTTCTGGAAGCGGGAGTTTCTTGATGATACCATCTAATCCTGCTGCAATGGTTGCAGCCATACTGATGTACGGATTACATGCGCTTGCTCCTATCCGATTCTCGATGTAGGTGCTCGTCTCTCCATCTGCCTTGACCCTGATGGCGCAGGTTCGGTTGTCAGGACCCCAAGTGGCGTTCCAAGGAGCAGCAGAATTCTGTTGAAATCTCTTGAGGCAGTTTGTGGTCGGTGCCATTAAAACGGTGATAGCTCTGGCATGCGCAATGAGTCCAGCCACCCAGTACTGCCCGATCTCCGACAAACCGGTAGAGCTAGAGGCATCGTAGAGTTTCGGAATCTTACCATCAGCATCCCAGAGCGAATGGCAGTAGTGCGCTGATGAACCGAATATATCTGGCCATGGCTTAGACATGAACGAAGCGATGTATCCGTGCTGAAGTGCGATCTCCTTGATTCCCAGTTTGAAGGTATGAGCTGTGTCGGCAGCCTTGATCCCAAACTCTGGACGGTAGGTGATCTCCAACTGTCCTTCTCCGGCTTCACACCCGTAACACTCGATGTCAACACCAGCCTGTGGAAGATCGGAAATAACCTGCTGGAAGAAAGAATCGTAGACAGACGAGCAAATTGTTGCTAAAACGAATGTCTCAGAGTCCATTGGCTCCAGTGTTTCTTTGTTCACGAGGTAAAATTCGTGCTCATGGGCTGACCAAATGGACAGATCTAACTCCTTCAAGCGCTCAAGTTGTTGTTTGGCAACAACCCTAGGGTAAACAGGTACCTTCTGCCCATTGTATTCCCCTTCAATCAAGACTCTAGCAGTGCTGGTACACCATGGTAGAATCTGGAAGGTGTCTAGGTCAGGGAATGCCTTGCAGTCAGCATAGTGGACCTCTCCGCCATAGCCGGTGTTCTGAATAGGCATCCCTTTCGGATCCAATGCCATGTAGGTAAGGCACATGTTGACTCCATGGGTAGCCATATTCTCGAAGTGTTTGACCGGGATAGCTCGATTATGAGGAATTCCATAGGTCTGCGATTGTTCAAATCGGACAGTCTTGATGCCATTTTCTTTCAGTGATTTCAAGATCTTTTCCATGATAGCTCCACAAGTTTCCAACTGACTTCCTGGAGTAAAGAGAAATGAAAAAATGAGGTAGGGGATTAATGAAACCTTGGAAACTGCTATTTTGAAAAAGTGGATATGAGAAAACGACCAAAAAAAACAGCGTAAATGTTGTATCAAGAAATTACGTTTGTTGGAGGGAGCAGGTGCCGGTCCTCCAAAGAAAGATAGTTGTATTAACATTAGTATGACAACGTCACGTAGGCTACCTAGGTGCTACCCTCCTTGGTTTTAATGATTATTGGTCTTGGCGCCTTCCTTCATTCCATCGGGTCTTCGCGTCGGGTCGTCGGGTTGCTGCATTACACGACCTTTCTTGATTAACGCTGTCGGGTTTCACGATATTTTGTAAACTCTGCCCCTAGATTCGCAAAAAGGCGGGTAAACTTAAAAAGATGGTCCTAATGAAGACATGTATATATATATATATATATATATACAGTGCGTCCCAGCAAAAACGAAACCGAGAAGTATCGATGTTTTATCATAACTTAATCACAACCATAATTAATGAATGATACATATTTGGAAAGCTTAGAGTCACGTGATGCATATTTTACGCATGAGTGATTAAAAGCAATTTGAAGGAAGGAAACCAAAAAGTAATTTGGCGGGCGGTATCTGAATTTCAAATAAAACTCATATTTCTAGAAAGTTCTTTTTCTGCTATTTCATATGATACCTCAATCTGGAAATATGAGCCAGGAATAACAAAGTTCTGTTTGTTTAAAGTAGCCCTTACATTTTCATAATTTTAACAAACGAATTCGTTTTCACTGGGTGCCTGCCGTAGCAAAAAGCAGATTTGACAAAAGACTTAACTCCGTTTCGTCGACAATCAGCCATGCATGAAGACTCTCGTCTACGGCTGATTGTTAACGAAACGGAGTTAAGTCTTTTTTAAATTGCGTTTATTGATACGGCAGGCAGCCAGTGAAAACGAATTCGTTTAATAAAATTATGGAAATGCAAGCACTACTTTAAACAAACAGAACTTTGTCATTCCTTGCTCATTTTTCCTGATTGAGGTGTCATATGAAAGGGCAGAAACTCAACTTTCTAGAAATGTGGATTTTTCTTCGAAATTCAGATACCGCCCGTCAAATGTCTTTTTGGTTTCCTTCCTTCTAATTGCTTTTAATCACTCATGCGTGAAATATTCATTAATTATAGTTGTGATTAAGTTATGATAGAACATCGATACTTCTCGGTTTCGTTTTTTCTGGGACGCACTGTATATATATATATATACATTTGTGAAAACATGCCCATACAATCACACAATGACGTGGTGTATTTTGCTGGCCTTTTACGAACACTTGTGATTATTTATCTCGAATTAAAAAAGTGTCGGTCGAGACGCGAGTTTTCGAAGATATGCTGTGGTTTTTAAAAAAGAAAGAACCCGGTAAACTGGACCCGACACTTTGGCGATATGAGGGGTATATTTCACAAACAATACATTTGACTATTCGGTAATTAGGGCTTGATTATTCATAAAAGTTCGTGTAACCTGAAGACGCGAAAAGCCGATGGAACAAGATAATCCGGTGACCACTCCCCCGCCCCACCCCTCTCCCTTATGACTATTACATTTTTGATACCCCATAAACTTTGGCCATTTCAGGAAATTTACAGCCCTACGATGTTGGTGTAGTGCATCTCCTAAATTGTCAGAAGGTCCGGGAGACCGACATAACCGTCTTGCTGGCTGTCGGTTTCGTGAACCCTCGGATGATTTTTCAGTAGGACCACCTAAAGGACATTGTCCGCCTAGTCATCCCATTGGATTTTGCCTGCCGCTTGGCTTAAAACCACTGATTTTTTTTTCCGAGACCCATCATGGTGTGCGATCGTATGCTACGCTTAGACTATGTTCCCGGCGGCCACGGCAATCACGTTTCAGGCCAACGTGGACAAAACGGGATGGACGTGAGACAACGCGGGGGACGGAATGGGTAAACGTGACTAGCCGTGATTGCCATGGATGCCGGGCCAGATTTTCAAACTGTCACAAAATTTGCCACGGCAGTCACGGTGCGGATGAGAAACCTTGTTGGCCGTAGGTAAACGGGTGGACGCAACAAACCATGACAGTACGTATAAACAGGCCGTAACAAAACTTGGAGGCGGTCCGTTAGTGGGACGGTTTACTTGCCCGGCGTTCTACTACGTTTTGACACGGCGCGAGCGGTCAACGGATACAATGTTTGCTATTGCTTGGAACTCTTGGGAGGCCTCTTTTTTCATACCGTGGGCAAAAAGGTGCTCCAAAGCTACACGGCGTCCACGGTTCATCCGTAGAAAACCTTGCCAGAACGTGAACAACCTGTCAGACCTTGATCAGAACGTGAGAAACGTGAGGGACCCCATCTGAATGTAACGGGCCGGGAGGGAACGTACTGACATCCTTGGTAGACCACGGGTCGAACCGTAGTCCCGTCGCGGATACCGTGATAGGCCGTGCGAAAACTTGGAAAGTCCTAACGAAACTTGAACACAGAGACAAAAATGGCCAAAATCCCGCGGTGCACTACGCTTCGGGCAAACTAGGCTGCCGTGGCCGCCGGGAACAATTATAGTGTAAACGTAGTACTAGCATGAGGACGCTGACTTGCCCTTTGAAAATTTGAAATTAAAATAGATATAAAGTCATCATTGTGCATTCGGAAATTCGTTTTGCGCTGGAATAAGTTTACCAATGAATTTACAAATATAATCATGTAATCATAGACAATACAGTAATGGTTGATCATTATAATGGAAAATCCATTTATGATAGCTAAAGCGGCATATTAAAGTGTGTATAGGTTACAAGAAATCGATGTCATAAGAAATCAATTTTATACCGTATACACCACGGTAGGTAAAATGATAAAAAAACGCTGCACTTTTATAATGCCATCGTTTGAAACACGGTCTGCAATCAGTATACTTTTATTGGCATAGGGTGTGCATGTATCATTAAGTGAACTGAAATTGGACAAAAACTTTAAATTTGTACTTTCCAATGGTGACAAAATGAGTATCGATGCAAATAAACTAAAATCTTGACTTACCTGTAATACTTTTGACGAAACAATTAAGTACTCTAAATGTCTAAGGTCTAAAGATCCGTCGAAATCAACTCCGGTGTTTAAAAGCTTCTCGTTCTCTACCTGGGCAAATAATGTATGTAGTCAGCATTCCACCTGTAACATTAAGGTCTAGACGTAGATTTTATTGCGACAATCCTGATTGTTTGCAGATAAAGTAGAACTTTGGACTACCCTTGTTTGATTTTGTAGTTAAAATTTTAAGAGTGGTTCTTATCTTATTTGTTCTTTGTTGCTCATGTGTGTGTGTGTGTTGCCAGGTAACGGGGGAATTGTCACAATGGCTTGGACGGGAAATCGTGAGGATCGGAAGATTTTTGTTTGTTTCTCCTTTCATCTTCTCCCCCCCCCCCCCCCTCTCTCTCTCTCTCTCTCTGCCTATTAGCTCCGTCTATGTCCCTCTCTCTCTTTCTTTCTTGTTCCTCATTCTTGTCCTTATTGACTTCCCCTCTATCTTAGATCTTTTACCTCATGCTTAACAATTTCACAATTTTTTTAAAAATTTAGTTAGTAGAAGGCGGATTCTTGTTTGTTTGGGTGTACAAAGCACCGAGCTGACTGCTTCATTTAGTTGATAGTAAAATTAAGTCCTTCTTCAAGCATTTAGGTGTATTATATTCAAAGCTGTACTTATGCTGTGTAATAAATATGTGCAGAATTATCTCCAAAAAAATATTTAAAAAACAATTTCACCATTTTTACTTCTTTGCCCTTTATTTGTGTCCGTGATATTCATTTTATTTATATTGTTATTTATCCTCGTTAGTTTGTAATTAATATGAACTTGACATGCTTTAATTTCAATTACATCAGTTTTTATTTAATTTCCATCTCAATGTTGTACATCCAACTTTTCTAGCCTCTCAACATATTGAATTCATGGCAGAACTAATATATATATATATATATATATACACACACATAATGTATATAAACATCATAATATCAATTTAAGATTCAAGATTTTAGATTAAAATATTATTGTCCACTTTAAAAACACACAGAAGTTTGGCCTCCACTGGCAAAATATAACAATAAATAACATAAGAATACATGGATTTGCACAGAACAAAATCATCAGACAAATAGGGTTACAAAGAAATTTAAATACATTATGACAAATGTAAAGACCTACGCTAAAGAAGAGGAAATGGCAGAATAAGAGGATAGACCGAAAAGGTATGAAGAAAGAGCAATAAAGAGCAAGCATGTAGTTGAGGGGAAGAGAAAATAAAAACCGCTTGCATATTATGCATCCAAACAGCTGCTTTACTAGAGTTTTAAAAAAGGTAAAAAAGGGCAGCGGCCCCCACTTGCAAACATATACAAATTCTGCACGACTCCATCTGCAGACCATCTCCATAGCGCGAGAATGCCACAGCAAAATCTCAACCCAAACAGGCAAGAAGCTCGGCAATGATAAGCAAACACGTCCCTTCTAATCTTCCTGGATTGAAGTAATATAAAATGTTGGTTTCATACTAATTTTTAGATTTTTATTCTCTGTGCATTATTTGTTGTTGTATTTTTGACCCTGTCTCGTGTCAGTTCAGGAGGAGCCTGTTTCCTTCTTCTGGCAGATTACCCGGGTAATATCCATGTAACTTCTATAGACTTTCTTCTACTGAAATAAAGATAACATGTACATGTTTGTAATACATGTAATATAAAATGTTGGTTTAATATTAATTCTGAGATTTCTATTCTCTGTGCGTTATCGGCTTGTAATATTTAAACGTCTGTAACTTTCATCTCAGTTTAAATACCTGTCATTTTAATTGTTTCATGAAACAAGGCAAATAATGAAATAAAACAAAGATTATCAGAGAGCCTATATCAAAATAGAATTGAATAGAATAACCATAGACAGAGAATCGTTTACATTTACATGTAGTTTTAATCACACCTTAATTAGATATCACGATTGACCTGGATTATACGATTAAATAATATTTAAGCAACCAAAATTATTGCAGAAAGGGTGACTTCTTTTATCAAACTATAATATAAACCTATCTTGTCTACTCTCTCATGAAATAAAGACATTTCAATACATAATTATGATACAAATAAATATAGATGTATTATACGTCATGTTTGCCATGCTATTGGGGTATAACAAGAAAGGAAAACAGAAATAACCCCCTTTTCCCGTTTCACATGACGTAGGACAGTGTATTCAATATTAAACATTTTTGTCGTCAAATATCAAGAGTGGCAACACTACGGGATGTGCACACGTCCCTGGGGAAATTACATAAATCAGAATACAGCAACTCCGAGCATACAATCGTGTCGATATTTGTCGATATATTGCGTTCCGTTTTATAATCCCATACAGAATGGCGTAGCTACAGGGGCGTTAGGTTGACATGTCCCCCCCCCCCAAAAAAAAAAATAATAATAAAATAAAAATAAATAAATAAATAAATAAATAAATAAAATAAAATAATAATAATAATAATAATATTCATATATATATATATATATTCATTTTAATATTAAAACAAATTGGCAAGAAAAGAGAGAAAGGTGGGATAAGAATGACGCAACAAAATATAAGCTCACTCAACGACCTTGGTTTTTTCGCATTTCACTCAGGTATAGTAAAATGGCACCCCCCCCCCCCCCCCCCCCCATGACATCAGTGCCCCCTCACACGCTCCCCCACTTCTCCTATATCATCTAATAACAAGCCACCTGTCCGCTTCTCGGCATGTTCGGTGAAACAAACGTATGGATGCAGGCATATTGGGTATGGCCCGAATCGATAAATGGTCGCGTTCATCTACAAACCCTCAGTATCGCTGAGGTGATGGCCTGGTGTCTCTAGCAGATTCCCCTCCAAGCTCAAGTGATCCGGTGTCATGAATAATTGTCAATGTTCCTTCCGAGGAGGCGGGGATCGGTATATATTATGGGTAAGCGGGAGGAGATGGATGCTGCTAAAAGACAAATACATCTAGATGCACATAGAAAGTAGTAAATGGGCGATGGATATCCTCTTTTTAGCGAGGTTAGTGTCATTTTGAAAATTGAGATTTGCTTCTTCCGTACCTCTGTCCACTAAAGGGTAAGGGGCTGATCATTTCTAGATTAGTTTCTTGCTTGGAAGTGTCTATAGTCTCTTCAAATCATGAGCAAGTGTTTTCATCTGCCTAGATCGATATTTCATGTTCTAGAACAGTTTTTTGCTACAAGCATGCATGACAAATCCATTACGTGCGGATCAACGTGTAAGCCGATGTAAAACGCCTCTTTTCTCTTTAATTTGTCCTCTATTTCATAAATGAAGCAAGTAAACATGCAATCCACGTCTCGTTGGCCAAAAGACCCCCAAAACAAATCAGGCAACCAGAATACATGCAACCTTCAGAATGCACATAGCCTTCGATGGAGTTCTAAAAAATTATCATACATTTTTTTCTGCACCAAACTTTGTAAGCTTGAATGTAACAAAACATGGGTTGTGCCTGAAGCACGGAGCCAGTAACACTGCACCAGAGTATGTCAGTCTCACTATACCAGGGAGGTTGTGTTTCTTTACTTTGGTTTCCACCTCATTCCTATATAGAAAAACGATGGTAAGAAAACCTGAAAATGGAAAGGAGAAACGAGAAAGAGGATAAATCTCGAACCTCCTGTAGGATGCATGAACATTCTCGGCCATTATTACGGCCTTTCGATGAACCTGTTGCATCAATATGGAGGGGGAAATGATAGTAATAATCCAGCAGCAAGCTGCTCTGGACGTGTATGGCATAAGAGGGTCCCTGGAGAAATTACAACGTATAAGATATGTTAGCAAGGCTAGACTCCAGACGAAAATGATTCTAACATACATATCTCCTGTCATTATTATCATCACTCCCGCCTTCAAGTGATATATAATAATGATATTTTAGTAAGCATCCCCCTTTTTTTTTTGGAGCAACCGCAAATTGTCTATTATGATCTGTAAGTGTGTGGGATTGTAGAATAATGGGATATATATATATACACATACATCTTATGTATATATAAGAGAGAGCGAGAGAGAGAGAGAGAATGAGCGAGGAAGGGGAGGGAGAGAGAGAGAGAGAGAGAGAGAGAGAGACAAGAGGGGTTGGAGATAGGTAATTTGACAAATACAGATACAGGCAGACAGGACGTACAGAAAGTAGAACATTCGAAAATATAGGTTGAAAGAGAGATTTTAAAAAAAAGTGAACAGATAGAGGGAGAAGAGATAACAGAATATGCAGAGAGGGGGAGAGAATGAGAGAGAGAGAGAGAGAGAGAGAGAGAGACACGGGGGTAAATACTATAGTGGGAGAGAAAGAGAGGAGGGCGAGATACAGACAGACAGAGGCAACCAAATACGCATATACAGACAGGAAACACAATCGAGCACCGAGAGACAGCTAGGAAGAGAGACGGTGGAAATAAACCGCATAGTAAACGAGTCCCCTGTCAAATTAAAGACGGCGGTCGATGGTCGCTTCGCTTGGAGGGAACAAGCGGGCGCGACCCGATGTCGATGAGCAGCGATATTAATCTCGCGCTGTATTGATCGAGAAACCTGTTGAATATGTGCACAGTGCGTTCGAAGTTCAACAACAAGGAGAGAAGAATCGGGTTTCGCTTTCTTCGTGACAAGACCCTTCGATCTCCCGCGGTCTGAGGTGTGCAGAGCCCGTGTCACAAATTACATGGCTTATATCGCTACGGGAACACTATGGAACGCTATCAACTGCATGGATGCATTTAAATTCAGTCGATGAACAATTCTAGAGGCTATTTTCATAGACGATTATTAGAGATTGCCTGTGTGTCGAATAGAGGTTTAACTGTCATAACTATACAGTGTCATAACTATACAGTATCTTAACTAGATAAAAGTAAACCATGCAATGTGAAAATGTGAGAATTCAGTGATATTTCCAATATGAGATAAAATCTTAGAATGTAAAAATATTATATTTATATTAAAACTTTAAATCCATTATGGAACTCACCATTGTTGATATTATGTGAAGCAGAGTTGCTTTCAATGTCTACATAGTATTGCCCCAACCATTGACAAAGTCCCCCCCCCCCAAAAAAAAAAAGCCATAGCCCACACATTATGCCAACCCCATTCATATCGCGGAATGTGTCCAAATTCCACAATATACCACACTGTGGCGCATGATTATAGTGGGTTATATTATGTTACCACTGATTAGTCCACGTAGTGTGTAAATAATATGTATTACATAAATACATAAATACGTGTTTTCTGTACATGCATGACCAACAATTTCAAATAAATCCAAATCCACTTATTTGTCACTAAGTATGGTGCGTATAGTACACTTATAGCGCCATACGGTGTCTAAAGTGTATCATTATATCACACAGTGTTAACACAGCGTTTCAGATTGTTAACTTATAATAATGTATTGGTCTCATTTAAACTCCAGGGTTATTCTGTGCTGCTCAACTTTTGTCATTCTATCTGCGACCAGACACAGAGTGAACAAAGAATGTTTAAAGTATCAACGAGCCTGGGACCACACTAGTATAGCTGTGGTGTACACTCCCTATAATTCTACATGTGGCCACAGTATTTTACTGTGTCACACAATGTGAACATGCAGTGTTTCCTCACAGCTAATTCTAATTACGGACCACAACTATGGTGGCGCACACTCCGAGACTCCAACTGAGGGCACTGTGTACACTGTGTCACAAAATGTGAATATGGCATGAAGTGTGAACACAGTTCCCATAGTCAACACTAAACAACGAACTCCAAAAAGTGTTTCAACTCCACTCAGTGGTCACACTGTGATGCGTACACTCACTGACGGATTTAGCGGGCACAACTGCTACCCCACAAATGTGGCCCCCTTTTAATTTGTTTTGCATCTGAACATGAGACAACTTTAAGCTATGATTAATACAATGTACAAAGACAAATAAATAACCAAGAACAGTGCTAATAATAGTATAGAATATTTATAAAAGAGAGAAGGAAACAAAGTCATTTTCTATCGCACTCTATCTGAAATTGCGTGCCCAGGTATAACGATATTGAAAATAAAGGAAAACCCAACAAAACAAAACGAAGAAAAAAGGGGAAAGAAAAGGAAAAGCCACGGGCCGCATGCATTATGTGTCTGTAACCCATAACATGAGATGCCCCATTTAGCTCAAATAAATGCCCATGCCGCTTGCCATAGGCTTCAAGACGGCTGATATCATCCCCTTGAGCCCCTTAAGATTGATTAAAAACCCAGAGCGTAATAGTTCACTGGCTTGAAGCAAACTTCCCCGCAATCAGTTATAATCTTTCTGCGTTGCCGAAGTAAAGACCGACGCACGCGGGGCGCGCGATCGAGCTCCGTACCTCCGTCGCGTATACGACAAGCGACACTCGATGCCGGCTGAGAGCACTGATGGGAGTAGACAGTGTTACTGATATCGTCGGAGTGATCGAAGTGCGCAGACGACACAGGGGATTCATTTTGGCGGGAGAACGATACGCTGAGCTCGACGATATCGGAAAGCTGGAGTTTTCATTGTATTTCGACGTCGTTGTCACGTTCATCGCCATTGATATAGGAGCAGGAAAAGAGCTAGAGGTAAGCATGATTGTAATTTGTTTGTAGAGTTGATATGACATTTCCATATTTTTAATAAAAAAAAAAAAAAAAGTGTAATAAATACATATTATAAAGATAAGCAAGTACATCAATGTTATCAATTGAAAAAGAAATGGGTTTAGTTTAAGATGGCTTAAATGTCGAAGCATATATTTGAATAAATCAACACAAATATTGTTTTGTTATATTGGTTTTATAAAATGTAAATGCGATTTTAAAAACTACAAAAATTGGATCTCCCTAGCTATGGAAAACAAATATATTGCCATTTTATTTTTCCACAAGTTACGTAATTAAGTACACCCAGACTGCAAATTTTTGATAGGAAATTAGTATATAAGCAAGCGAATAAATGAATGATAAAGTGAGACACGTTATTTCAATTTTTCATCTTCATGTAAACTAGACCCTGTCTATACTGTTCTCAATAAGGATTGCTCCTCTTCATTTGCCTCTGTTATCTCACAGATTGTCAACTTAAAGGCTGCCTTGCTAAAGCCAGCATAATAATCGGGGCAGCGCCAGGAGCGTCACAACGTGACGGACATGTGCGCCATATAAGAAGCCACCATTATTATTATTATTATTATTACAAAGTTTTGGGAAAATTGAAAAATGGGTGGATAGTGATTCTTTACAATTTTGATATATTTGGATGCCCCTGTGGATGTATTATAAGCACTAGCAAATTTAGCCCCTAAAACACAAAAAAATAAATCTTAAGAAATATCTGTTTAATATAGGTTATAATTGATTACCATTACCTTCCATGTCTGTACCTTTCCTATTGCACTTTTTTAAAAATTTATCATGTATTTCATATTTTGCACAAGCTGCGCCTTGAGCATTTGATTGTCAAGTGGAATTGGCGCCTTACAAATATTATGTATTATTATTATTTAAAACACACCCCTAATCTGCTTTTAACGGTCGATATGTCCCCTCATATACATGTTTATCAGAATTATTCATTTTCATTTAAACAAAGAACAAAACTATTTAAAAACAATTATTCGTTCAATCTTAATCAATTAAAGATTGGTTTCATCACAAGGAAGCGGGAAAGGGAGTGGCCCCTAATAGCGACCTACTTTGTATTGGAAAACCTAAATTTGTCATAGTTTTCTTCGTTCTTCAATCAGTCTTCATTCAGGTAATGAATCTGTCTAATAAGCAATCACTTCATCGATCAGTCTTGATGAGAACGAAACACCTCGGAAAACACTTCCCGCTTAATCAGAAACACGTTGCAATACACTCTCGTTTTCATTAGGAGGAACCTCAAAACAACGGTACATTAAAACGGTCGTATGGTTGATTTAAATTTAAAGCCCCAACAATGCTGTGGACAATCTTTTTGAGGCAAACTAAACGGGTTTTTTTTAAAAACTTCTAGTCATTTTTCTCTGTTGGCCGCTGCGATCGAGTTAAGGAGAAAATAGCATCGGACGTTCTCGGTTGTTTTCCTTTTTATCCCTTGATTTTCTTTTTTTTTGCTTTAACATTTTCTCGCTCATGATCATGGAGGCGCGCCACAACAAAAATCAAATTGTCATGATTGTAATCCTTGCGAAACGAGAGAGGCGAACGCCAGTCATATAGAGTTGTGGTTCTCGTCCGGTTTCTGCCATTAGGAGGAAAGGGGATAACTAAAAGTTCAATTTGTTTATGGTTTCCAAGACCTGACCGAGATTGAGGCAGAAATGTAATATTGCAGTTAGAAAATGCATAGGCCTGTATAATGAATGACAGGGGAAGGAAAAATAGCTAGACCTTTTAAAAATACATGAACGCCCGGAAGGTCTCGATTTATTAACAAAACATTCTGTAAGAACAAAAATTAGATAGAATTTTAACGAAATCTGTTTCATAAACCCTATGAGAAATTTGATGCAATTTAGACAAAGTCGGAAATGGGGATTGTGTAATTTTGACTAATCCACGAAATACAAAATAGGCCCCCTCCCCCCGATCCTCAAAAAGGAGAGAAGTGAAGAAAAGAAATGTTGAATTAGTGCAGCAGATTCACATGCGCAAAGCACAACAGACTGCCACTTTAATTAAAACGCAATCGTGTCCAAAAGAGATGGCAGAACAGAAATTAATTTTGAGCAAGGTAGAGAAACGGGCCTCAGACAGAGTCAATATTGCACCGTTTTATTAGACCTCTGTCGTAAATGAAATGTTGGGGGCGAACCAGCACATTGAGTTGCTTGCTTGGCAATCAAAGCGGAATAGAACACTGCAAGAGAAGAAAGAATCGAGCGCAGGAAAGACGCCGCGCAGACTGTAAGCTGGTATTCGTAATAAAAAATATTTTATTTACCGATCCACAAAGTTCTTTAATTAATTATTAACATAATCATTTTCACAAAAAATCGATACCTCCACTTATCCATGACTTGTCAGATAAATGTTCAAACAATTAACACATTACAAAAATATACTTGGCTTCACAGCGACAATTATAAGATATTAAACTTGACAAATATAATTTGTACACCAATTTTATATTATAAAGTATTCGTAATTATGTTGGAAATGTTTATCTTGTTCAAGTTCGTAAAGTAGGCGCCTACAATTTATTTCAATTATCATTTGCATTAAAAATGTCCTTAGAACGTAGTCGCAAGACTTTCGAGTAACTAGCTCAGTGGGAATTTCATTAACCTTCTGATAAAATATCCTACAGAAAACATGTTCGGATTACGCAGTACTTCATTGTAATGTTCACACGATCCAATTTTGTTTTGATGACACTTTACTTTAAAATATTTTCGGGGGAAATTTTCGTAATGCTTACCTACCAATCTCAAAAGATAGTGATTTGCACAAAATATCAATTTCAATTATTCACAGATCGGAGCTGAAGGGAGAATAATTGCACTTTTGCCTTTTACTCCTTCGGCTAAATTCGACTACCTTTCTGTCTTCTGACTATACACATACACAGAGAAGTGCATTTTTATAAATTCAATGTTTCAGGGTGAATTCTAAATTACCTGTCCTGTGTTTAAAGATACATTCAGGATTTCACAGTAAAGTCTTTGTCAAACATTTCCACGTTACTCTTATTCATACTTTGATAGCTTGCTATTGCCATAATCTGATATTTTATCACTAATCCATACCTTAATTGAACTTGATATATAATTTACTACAACGCTAGTTCTGAATGCAGATAATGTACCATGAATACCGTACGCATAAAGTTAATCATAAAAAACAGAACGTACGTGCTGTCGGAATAGGAAAGGTTATCCTGTCTTCATATTGGCCAAACAAAGCTGAGTTGACAAGCCATTAAGAATTCGGTGTTCATATTATCGACATAATATCCAACCGCACTTGTCACAGGCCACACTAAGTACACCTTCTTTTCATTTGTCATCGTGTCCCCTTTCAGGTTCTCGACGTCACCAGGAGCATGGAGAGGGCGCTGAAGCTGATCGATCTGTTTGGCATCACCTCAGTTCGCTTCGAGCAAACTGATTACTATGGTATCCCACACTGCAAGGTGATCCCGGTAAAGCACTTCCGGGACAAGGCGATACACGGCCAGAACTTTTGCCTCGGGTACCTGTCGTTCAACCCCCATGGCCAACCCATCGGAGGCACAGGATACGGCGAGGAGATTCACTACGAAGACGCCGTCTGCTTTCCAGACTTGGCTTCCTTTCAGGTATTACCTTGGTGTAAGAAGACGGCACGGGTTCTCGTAGAGGGCGTCTACGAAGGGAAGGTTGTTGAGGGATACCCCAGGGTTGTCGCACGTAGGCAACTTGAGCGTCTTGAGGAGATGGGATACTCACTATTCTCCGCTCATGAATTTGAGTTCTACATGGTCGATGAGAAGACGCAAGAACCGATCGATAATTCCACTAACGCCAACGCGACATCGCGCCTCTTTAAAATTCGGGACTTCACGGAAGACGTGTTGGAAGGACTACCTCAGGCAGGTGTGGATTTGGAGTTCATTGGGAGCGAGTCGGCCACGGGGCAGTTCGAGATCACCTACCGTCCAAGTTTTGGCATTCGTGCTGCAGACAATGCCCACACCTACAAGATGGGCATCAAGGAAATCGCACAGAAACATGGATACATCGCCAGTTTCATGTCCAAACCTTGGCCGGACAAAAGTGGCTCATCGGCGCATTTCTGTCATTCTCTTTGGGACGTCACCGGGGAAATACCCCTGCTCTACGACCCGTCTCAACCATTACAGCTCTCAAAGCTGGGTCAGTACTGGGTAGCTGGTCTGCACGCACACGCATGTGCGCTAGCTGTTCTAATGGGTCCGACAGTGAATTGTCTCAAACGCTACAAGCCATTCAGCTTCGCCCCAAGTAACGCAACGTGGGGGATGGATAACCGAACTTGCGCCATCCGCGTCCGGGTCCAAGGTGCCAAAGGAACCTACATCGAGAACAGAATGGGAGCGAGCGCGTGCAACCCTTACATCAGCCTAGCGGCAACGGTTGCGGCCGGAATCGATGGTATCGTCCGAAGGTTACCTCTACCCGAGCGGGTCATCGGAGATGCCTACAAAGACGAGGATATCCCACCGCTGACACCCAGATTGCCAAACAACATGGCGGAAGCGTTAGACTGCTTATTGAATGATGAGGTCATGGTATCTTCCCTAGGACAAGACTTCATTAAGTGTTTTGTTGCGGGAAAGCGAAATGAGCTGGAACTCGAGAGAGCAGCAATTGAGAGGGGTGAACTGCACAAATGGGAGCATGACTATTTCTTTGAAGTAATGTAATGGACGGTCACTTCAGTACAAAATCTTTGACCAAAAATATATGTTGCCAAATTATATATCATAGTACTATGTGTGATGTGGAGTGCTAAAATATTTCGTAGTTTGTTACATTTTTTCATTTTTCTGTAAAACAATTCGGGTGCAGAAAAAGGAAGAGCAGACTGTCTCTTCGAGAGTGATTTACACATACTGTACATTAATTATAAGATAGAATTTTAGATTTTGATGGATTATCTATCGATTATGATATACAGTATGGTCCTGTATGGAGGATGAAAAACAGACAAACAAGCACGCAATATGACCTCAATTTGAAAAAGGGTCCTATTTGGAGAAGAAAAATGCTTTACTTTATGAAAAATATTGGTAACAGAATATCATCATTGATTGAGAGTAATTAGGACTGATTTTCTTCGAAATACGGTGCTTCTAACTTTAGCAAAATTAGTCGGATGTTTCGTAAAGCATTATTGGATGCGTATTACCATTCTTTGTAACGTCTTGTATCAGACAAAATTTGTACGTATCGTCAACATAATGTATTTTCTAGCTTTTTACCTCTCCGGTGAACAAGGAGATCTGTAGGTTTATATGAATTTAATAAGCATTCATTAAAGGTACTATGTCCCATTTGCAGGCCCCCAAAATAAAAGGTTAAATTCTAACGGCATTTGAAAAACAATACTAATTTAGAACTACCCTCAAACCGAAAGGGCTTGTAAATGGCTTTTAGTGGGAAAATAACGACCATTAGTTGTCAAATCGACTTAAGTGATTGCAATCACATAGATAAAAGTCTGATTTTCAGACCGTTTTACCGAATCGTCGTACATTTTGTGCTGCACAAAGATTCAATAAGTTTAATCTACCCAGATGTTTTTTTTAATCGGCACCCGTTTGGATGCGTGAGTCGTGTTTTTTGAGCGTTTCTAAAATGGCGCCCGACTGGAATGCCTCCCAGGGAGTGTACAAAGGGCATAATACTATTGATGTATTAGACGCTATAATTTATTAGTAGCAGGGACCGATCCAGGGGGGGGGCACAGGGGGCACTTGCCCCCCCCCCCACCGGACAAAAAAAGATATGTTAAAATCAGCCCTAAATTCGCCAAAAATGCACTGAAAAACAGAGACGTGCCCCCCCCCCCGGCCCAAAAAATTAAATTAACAAATTTCTATAAAAAAAGCAAAATGTCAAATTTACAAATGTCGTGACCCCCCCCCCCAAAAAAAAGTGTCCTCTTACCCCCCCCCCCCCCCCCCCCCCCGCTTATTCAGCGACTGGCTGAGTCGTTGCGATTTTTGGGGGGACTGAAACAAAAAAAATTATATGTTCTCTCACCCCACTTGTGCCCCCCTGTGCCCCCCGGGACCAATTATGAGTAGCCAATTATTTATTTTTTTTAATGAAAAGATGGTTAAGTAACCCCTTTAACTACCCTTTCTCTCATTTCGTATTATTCAAATGTTCCATCCTGCTAAAACGTCTACATTTAGAAAAGGATTTCTATTTGGTTCTTCGTTTCTTTCTTCTCCTTTCATGACTAAAGCGTTCATTCGAAGACACAACTGTTGTCACGACTATGTGTTTTTGCCTTTCTACTCGTTTTATATAATGTCGCTGCATTTGTATTTCTATAGCCTAATTATGTATATGTACGGAATCTTAGTGAATATTTTCCGAAGATGTAGGCCTGTGATTATTCCAGTTTAAATTGTCAGCATATTCGTTTGGGCTACTCTCCTCCATGAGGCTTAGCTGTGCGAAGCCGAGACCTCTAGGATCATGAGATCGAATTTTAATGTGGTATGCGAAGTTACAGATTAAATTAAATCTTGCAGTTTTCCTAATGGAATTATTTGGTAAGAGTAAGAACATTGAAATGTAAAATGTGAATTGATATGCTGTTGTGAGTTTCAAAATAATTGTTTCGTGTCATTTGAATAAATACTTGGTTTGATGACATTCGGAAAATATTTATGATATAGCAGGTTTTCATTTATATATTTTGTTTTGGGCAAGGATTTATATTTATTTTCCGGTGGATACATTGATGAGAGGGGAGGGATCTTGCATTATATTGTGGAGGAAAAAACAATAAAGTATAAAGGAAAGATGCTCCTGTACGGCTGTACCCCTCCATCATTGCCCCCCCCCCCTTATCATGACTAAGGGTTTCATACATCCAGTTCGCCCCCCCCCCCCCCCGCCCATCCTGGTTTCGCCGTTGAGGTTGCATCATGAAAATGAGCCATTGATATGTACATTTCGCATACATACAGGGCCCAGTTTCATAAAAACTTGTTATCAATAGCAAGTTACCATTACTGTTGTAAGCTACTGAAATCATAATATGTGATTGGCTTACAGCTAATTTGTCATAGAATTTTAGCATCTTTTATTGATAACAAGTTTTATGAAACAGGGTCCTGGTCAATACATTGTTTATTTGTATAAGTGTATGGCAACAGGGAGAATGAGATTGATTTTCAGACACGTGAAAGCAAGAAAAGTGAATATTAAGGAGAAATATAATAATAATAATAATAATCCGGTTTTTTATATAGCGCTCAATACACCGATCCAACGATGTGCCTTTACAGATATATTATTACCCCAGTCATCGGATTCAGGCTTACCCGCACACAATGTGTGCACATTTTCCACTCCCTGGGGAGCATTCCAGCCAGTCGCCATTTTACAGGCGCACACTTGCTCGTTCAACCACATGAACGTTCGCATCCTACCGGGTACCCATTTAACACCTGGGTGAAGAGTAGCAATATTAATATATGAAGGGGTGACCAAAGTTCGCGGACATTTTAGAACATATTACAAAATGTGATATTCGATCTATGATTTCTCATATTCTACACAACTTTATTTATTTCAATTATTACCAAATGGACGGCAAAGTTTTTTACTACAGATTGGTTCAACTAGAAAAATTTACCGTCGAAGGATTTCGGAGATATCGCGATCTAAAAATTTGATGTCCGATCGTGCGCGCACGCTGCATCTAAAAAAGTCATAAAAACAATGAGACCTAACTTCACGCACGGTGGTTTACAGTTGATTTATCAAAAAATGTGATCCATCAAAAATAAGGTAATATCATAATTTGCAAGGCAAGATATCGTACAATCGGTTCGTACCACTCTTTACTTACAATTTTCAGGATTTCTGATCTCAAAATGAAGATTTCCAGACCCTTATCGGTAAGTTGATAATTTTTCGGAACGGACGCAAATAACTGCAAAATTTGCCGATCTTTTGTCAATATTTTCACAATTTCGCAACCAATTCTAAAGAAAATTTCGTTTCTGGGTAATTTTAAGACCCTCTTTCCATTGGTGATATCAGATTTTCGAAATCTTACCGATTTTTTGAGAAAGCGAACTTTGGTCACGCGCGAACTTTGGTCACACCGCCATAAATGAGAGGTATAAGGGATATTATGAAGTATACGTGTATAAGTGAGAGACGGACAAGTATATCGTCAGAAACACAGAAATAGAGATATATAGTGTATACATGAATAATGAAAGGGGAAAGAGAAATGATAGCAAGAGCAACAGTGAGAGAGAGGAAGAGAGGGGGAGTGAAAAAGAGAGAGAGAGAGAGAGAGGGGGAGTGAAAAGAGAGAGAGAGAGAGAGGGGGAGTGAAGAGAGAGAGAGAGGGGGGTGAAAAGAGAGAGATATGGGAGTGAAAAATAAGAGAGAGATAAGAGAGAGAGAGAGAGAGAGAGAGAGAGAGAAAGAGGGGAGCGGTGAGGGTGGGGAGAGGAAATCAAGGGAAAAGAGGGTGAAAATGAATTATGTCCGTATATTGAAGTATTTCCAAAAGGACGACACGTAAACAAATTAGGTTTACTCCTAATTAATATTTCATCTCGCCCTTCAACATTGACTTACTATGGGGGTAGTTTTTCCCGGGTTGAAATGAAAGATACATCATGGGGAGGGCCAGCCTGCATGCAACTGCACCTACACACGTGTAAGCTTCTTTGAAGATTTGCAATCACAACACTCGGGTGAGTACTGGGGAGGAGACCCAGGACATAATTGTTCAGATAATACGTCGAGATGAAAACACATAAATGAACCAAATAAACCAAATAAATGAATGAATAAACGAATAAAATTGGTCATGCGAACACCACGTCGAATGTTTGCGTGATGCATATAATATTGCGCGCTTTAAAAGGTGCGTTTATTTCATGCGCCCTTTGTCAGTGATTGCATGCGCGGCTAAATTTGATGGCCACAAATCACATTTTTGCCTCTTTCTCTCTTTTGTGAAAATTTTCCAGTCGTTTATTTCATTCAAGATTTCTAATACGTTGGGTGTGAATTTGAATGGTCTACAGTTGGAGCTTAAAATCTGGGTAAGCACTTGTTTTTATTTATTATAATGTTTCATTTTTCGAGTATTGTTAACAGGGGCCTTCAATACCTTCAAGGGAAAGGGAAAGGGCTAGATCTAGGGGATAGAGATTAAAAGAGAAAAACGAATGTAGCAGTGCATTGACAGAAGGGGATTGATGGCAAAAGATGATGGGAAAGTGGATCGAGGAGGGAGGCAGGACCGGGGGAGAATGGAAAGAGGGAGAGGGAGTGAAAATAGTGAGACGATATTCCACTGGAGAAATGAAACGGTTAATTGGTGTTAATCAATGTAGGGCTAGGAAGGCAGAAAACTTTGCAAAATCACTTTGATCGATCACAAGGCTAGAATAAGTTAGATGCAATAAACTTTTAAGAATGTACATGTTCATTTAAACTTTCAAAATACATGTACGATATTGATTTCATGCCGTACTATTTCGCAGGTGCTGAGTTGACTGAAAATACAGACGTCAAATTGCTTTCTGCATGAGGACTTGGGGGTATTCTCTTGCCTAGCCATGGCTAAGAAGATACAGCGCCAGCTTTAGTCTCCTTCATTACAGCGAACCAGGGTTTTCTCACCCGGGTTTTCACCATCGAATTTCAAGTCACTGATACCTCCTCCTAGCTCCTCCTCCTCTGTTACCATGACAATATTGTTCACCAGCAACCAGGACTGGGGACCATGGGTGAACTTTTGGAGGACGTTGTTCTTCTTGGGACAGGAAAGACTCAAGCCGTCGTCGTCGTCGTCGAATAAGAAGAGCAGACGAAAGCGTCGACATCAGCGTCAGCTTCCGGGACATAGTTTGATGATCACGACTACAGCGGAGACCGTGGAGGTTGAACTTGTGGAAGAAGGGGGGTTAACCTGGAGATCTGCACTGCTCTTCTGGTGCGAACAATTTATCATGGTCTTCATGTACTTCGTGTTCATATTGGCGTTTTATAGAGCAGCAAAAAGCATTCTTTTAGGGACTGAATGAAAATGGACGATTAAACAAAAAACTGATTAGCTTTTTCGGTAATACACCTCAACTGAATTCTGATAAAATGAGCTTTCGGTTCGATTCAAGATGATGTAAATCCGATGTATTTGAGAGCAACTAGGACCTTTGCAAGAGGGGGGGGGCAGCGGGATGGGGGGGGGGGGTGGCCAATACCACGAATTCGCATAAGTATGTACTTACGAATCATGAGACAACGCATTTGAAGGTAGCTCCGTCGGTCCGGAATTCCCTCATCTTGATTGACCATTTCTCAGATTGTCGACATGAAAACTTTTTATCAAATTAGTTGGGCAAAAATCATGTCCATGCAGCTGTGGTTCGGAGCATTTTGTTGTAAAATTCGCTAGATTTTGTGAGAATTTCTACCTTCATACCTTACATGTCAAGAGCAGAAGTTAGAGATGGAGAAAATTGTAAAATCTAGTGTCTCAACCATTATCCTCTTGTAACGTTCTTGAATTATTCCCGGCTTCCCTCCACTACCATGTTAATTTCCGATGATTTTCTCCCTCTCTCTCTTTCTATGTGTCTATCTCTCTTACTCTTCCTTTCTGTGTGTCTATCTCTCTTGCTCCCTCTTTCTGTGTGTCTATCTCTTTCTCCCTCTCTCTCTCTCTCTCTCTTTCTGTGTGTCTATCTCTCTTTCTCCCTCTTTCTGTGTGTATATCTCTCTTTCTCCCTCTCTCTCTCTCTCTTTCTGTGTGTCTATCTCTCTTTCTCTCCTACCATGTAACTTCCTCTGCCTTTACCTTCCACTCTCTCTCTCTTCCGTAATCATGAATAAATTATGTGCCTAAACATTGCCTTACAACACTACAAGTCTTTTTAACAGTGCTCGTAACAATAATACTTGTTATCTTCTGACCATCATTATTTTCTCCCTCTCTCTCTCCCTTTCTGTGTCCATCTCTCTTTCTGCCTCTCTAACTCTCCTGTCCTGTAACTTCATCCGCCTTTACCTTCCGCTCTCCATCTCTTCCATAATCATGAATAAATTATGTGCCTAAACATTGCCTTACAACACTTCAAGTCTTTTTATCAGTGCTCGTAACAATAATAATTGTTATCTTCTGACCATCATTATTTTCTCCCTCTCTCTCTCTCCCTTTCTGTGTTCATCTCTCTTTCTGCCTCTCTATCTCTCCTGTCCTGTAAATTCCTTTGCGTTTACCTTCCACTCTCTCTCTTCCGTAATCATGAATAAATTATGTGTCTAAACATTGCCTCACAACACTACAGGAGTCTTCTTACCAGTGCTCATATCAATAACAATTGGACTCGGCCGGGTAAGATACTGAAATTCACTTTATTAAGACATGCAACAATAACAGTCTAAACTAATTAATATTACAAAGCTACGTGTTCAATCAAAACATGGTTCCATTTTCTTTGATTACCAAAACAAAATTATAAAAAAATACTACTAATAATGATAAATGAGAAACTTAGCAGTGACGTTATGAGAATGAAATGTGAGAAGAGCAACAGCAAGATGCATGCATTTTCATGTGACTTCTATGAAGTCCCCCCCCCCCCCCTCCCCCAAATGGGGTGCTGCAGTTGTTGCTACCTTATCAGATACGTTGTGTCTGTGTACAGGAGTTTCCCCTCCCCCTGACCATGTTCCTTCTGGCAATTAACAATGGCAAAGGAGTTTTTGTGTTGGTCAATGTTGCAGCCCCAGTTTTTTCTCCTCGACTGAGAACCTGTACCAACGTCTGCAAGCGAAGAAATTTGGAGAAAAAATGTCATTGTGTACACATCTTGCCTCAGCAGAATAAAAAAGGGATACCTCGGGCAATCTCCTCTTCCTCTCTGCTGAGGCAACTTGTAAACCACTTTCTCCCAACAACCAACAAGGCATATTGCATCGCTTAAAAGTCCCCAAGTCACAAGAGTCTGAGTTTTAAAAGCACAAAGTGGAAATGGTGCAACTACAGGTAGGTATTAAAGAAACGAGCTGCCAAATAATCCTCTATTTCATCTCGCAAATAATTATCAAAAGTCTATTATTCATTTAACAACAAAAACAACAGTCATGATAATCATTAAATCCAAATAATAAGAGTTTAGACTGTAAAACAAAATCATGAGTCAAAACATTGATGAGAGATGGAAAATGGAACCTAAATGTTTCATCTACATGTAAAAAAGGGCATTTTCTAGCCCCCAGCCGAAAAATACAAATTTACTTTTTCTTCATTTTTTAAGAGACATCTTACATTCATTTAATTAGCAGCATCATTTCAGACTTTGGACGAGACATTTAACAAATGGCACTTGTAAAAAAAAGAAATTAAAAAAAAAGGAACAAGAAGAATGAAAAAAAGTCTACCCACTGGCAGCATATCAACACTTTTTACAGAAACTAAGTATGAATTAGGGTGAAAGAAATAATGTCTGTGGATTACACATGCTTACAGATTCAAAATATATTACAAGAATATACCTGCATAATTCAAACCGTTTCCCCACAAATTCATTCTCTTTTAGTGCCCGCAATTCAATTTACATGTAGTTTTAACAGGGTGGGAAAGGAGAAGCTCAAAAAATGGCATCAAAATTTAAAAGAAAATCCCCCACTGAATGTGCAAGAACTGCAAATGATACATTTCTCGAAATCGGAAACTTTTCTGTTAGTGTTACTAATTCCAGCAGCATCGTACATGTAAGTGGTAAATACTATCATTAGAATGCTTATCATTGCTAGTGGACATTTAAAAAAAAAACATTTACATGAACTTAAGATTTAGGGATAACCATGGCATTGCATAATTCAAAACTACCTTTATAAAGCCAATGAAGAGCTCTCAGACAAGTTAAGAGAACGGATGATGCTCGAGGATTGCGCTAAATAAAAAGGAATTGCGCGTTATATGCGTCTGTGCACTGATAATCTGTAGCCCAATATATACACACAAGCATGCAAGCATTATATTCTAGTCACTAAATGTCTTCCTCCTCATATAATCAAGAACTAGTCAATACAAAACTGTCAATGAGCTGGCTTGCAGAGGGGCTAGACTTTACAAGAAATGAAAAGCCTATATCAAATGAGGGCTGTTGTATACATCGCATCTATTCGATCTCAAAATATTTTTCTTTTCATGACAAAAAATGGAAAATATATGCTGTTAATTGTATGTTCAGATTTTGTTTGGTCAATTTACCTACGATACAAAGTGATTTCCATAAACACCATTGTAAAGCTACCGTAACTGGACAAAAAATGGAGTGCAACATTCATAATATTGTACAGATTTTTAGATTGTCGCAAGGAAATTTATACACAAAAAAAGAAAGGGGGAATACCCACAACCTACATGTACAATACATGTCAATGAGTTAGACACCTGCAGCTACACAATGTACGATATCACTCTTGCCAATTGCTATCACGTGGCAAGATGCCCACCAGGTCACAGTCCATATATTTACAAAAGAGATTTTTTTTGGCAATCCGAGCGAGAGTTTGGCACCGTAGAACCTAGGAGATGACTTGAGATACGGTAAGCCAAGAAATAACCAATAGTTTGAAAGCCGGATGAATTCTTGAACAAGGTAGGCCCAACGTGTCGAGAGCACCAAAATCTTGGCACGCTGTATCAGAAGCATTCAATAAGGAGCAATTTCTTGGAGTGTTTCGGTAGATTGTCTAGGGAGCTTCATACCCTAGGCATAATAATTACTGGGGGCTATTAAATAGTAGTGACCGTGATGAGCTCTCTTGGACAGCACTTCTTGTGGAAATGCACATGTAGGTTGTGGTCTAACTGGTGGAACTAGTGTCCGTCTCCATCCATCTCAACGCAAAGAAGGGCCGGGTCAGACCCTACCCCCTTCCACCAGTCTGCTCTTGGTATGCCTCCAGCTGGTCCTCATCCTCCATCTCGAGAGACTCCGGTGTGTCATCTTCGTTTACGGGCTGTCCGTCGTATCTGAAACGGAGCTGTCCCCTCAAACCCTGAAAAAAAGGAAATAAGATCAATATATCAGAATGAGAAGGGGACAGGTAGAGCCCAGTTATAGTCGACTTTTGTTTCATTTTTTAGTCTACATGTATCTTGTGGTTATCTTTGATCATTTTACAGGAGAGCATAAATTATTTTTAATTAGCTAAAAACTAGAGACCATACAGTCTCATGCCTAAATGCCCTACTATCATAATTCAGTGAATGGAATCTGCCCATATCCCTTTATGGCTGCCTGAATGCATCCGGTGATTTTTTTTCCCCTGTTGCATTTTTGTGACCACTACTTCTCTAGTCCCACACATCGATTCCAAACATTATCTTGCAGCTGCAGTGTCAAAAATCACTGCACCGTTTCGAGCCGAAAAAGCCACTTTCCCAAAGACATTGTACAAGAGAATTATGAACAATTACTGTGAACCGTAACCATTACTTACACATCCATTAAATAAATTAATAAGAACTTCAAGGAATTATCTGCTATAGGATGCTACATCCTATAAAATATTATATCTGTAAAGCGCTTAGACACATCATTGATGTATTAAGCGCTATATAAAAGCTGAATATCATTATTATTATCCACAAGCCAAGTTTCTTAGCTCATATTGCTGGTCCCCTCCCAGGTTGTGAGGACAACAAAAAAAAGCAAGCATTTTTAAAGCCCCACTGCACTTCTTATAGCTACTTGCGCCCTCTACACAGCCAACAATGCCTAAGCGATACCTATTGATCTCCCATGATGCCCTTTTCCTTATGTTAATTGAGAGCTGATTTGATGAGATAACCACCTGCCAGTGACCTTGCAGGGAGGTCTAATCCCTCCATGCCAAATTGGTGCAGAGGGGCTTTTAAATTGTTAACTTATCAAACTACATTACAAAATGAATGTTAACACTACTAGATAAACTGAATAAATTTAAGAAAAGCATGTTATAATGAGACAACTTTCACGACAAGCATTCCATCTTAAAGCCCTGCTGTCCTACTTGTAGCTACTTGCTCCCTCTATATAGAAAACTTCCCCAATCAGTCCCTGTTGGTCCCCCATAATCCTCTTTTTCTTATGTTAGTTGAGAGCTGAGTTAATGAGATAGCCACCTGTCAGTGACCTCGCTGTGTGGTCTAATCCCTTCTGGCCCAGTAGTGTTGACGGTCTTTAAATGGTTCAGTTTACTATTGATTGATACTATTTCATGATTAGACTTGAGTTATACCTGCTTTTCCCTGTAGGCATCCATGAGTTTGGCCAGCTTTGTCCTGCGCCTGATCTTGAAGCTTATCGTTGAACCATCCTGTTACGAAAAAAAGAAAAGAAGACAACATTCTTACTTTGGTGCAGACTTGGAAGAATCATATTTATTCATCTATTTTAGAAACCGGTTCTAGGATGTAGGCAATCTAATGGGTCAAATGACACCATGTGACTGTGCATCATTCATTCCTACCGTACAAAAAAAAGTTCCCATCAAAAAGTGATAACCCAAGACTCAGAGTGATAATGCGCAGAGGAGATGCGTGTATGTTTATTGCCGACCATAAAAATTAAGATTCAAATGGCAAGGGCAAGAATGCGTGCATTATATTGTTTGGTTACGCTTGACGGTGCGTCACTTGGCATTTTGATCACTTTTATCTTGACTCTAATTCATTTTTCTGACCTGTTTTATATAAAATTAATAATTCTCGTTTTAAAGCTTTTGCATTAGTGAAATGCTCTGCACTCAGTTAATTGAGCCGGGAAATGAACTGAACAAGTTTTCTGCATAATCCTATCGTGACTGACCTGAATGGAGTGCATATTCACTAATGCACTTGCAAACATTAATTGTTGGTATACTTATACTTCAATGTGAAATCATACTACTTGTGTATTTCATTTGTGATGTCTTCAAATATGGTATGCTTACATCAACGTTTCAATGCAGATTGAATTTGATAATAACAGTAGGCATACTATAAGTTCTCATAAAAGTTTGATTAAAATCATGACAACTGATAATGTACATGTAACCCCAGACAAAAATATCTTTGCACTGTCAAGTGTCAAGGCTGGTCACATACATTGTGCACGTAAACATTTTGTATGAACAATTTGTTAACAATAAATCCTTCCGTAGAAAATGTATGATAGCAACTAAATTATGATCCAATACACCAATACGTCTTCTAAATGTGTATATAAAACAAATTTTGTTGTTATTGATATCAACCATTGACATGCGACCAGTAGTGTTCACTTGACAACTGGTAAAATCATCCCTACCCTAGTAACTTTGCATTTTCCTACAGTAATTGAATGTGTCCAATACAATGCTATTTGTGTTGTAGAATCTAATTTGGTATTGGTAATATTCTTTCTATTTGATCTCTCCCGTATCATCATGATTCATCTCTAAGAATTTGGAAAATAAAACAAATGTACTTCAAACTCTTTTGTTGAAGGACATTTCCCATCTTATTCAGTCTCAGAATCAAAGTATACTTACATCACCAGTTACTTTTAACTGCACATGTTCATTACTTGGCTTCACTTCCTGTAGGTGGTGAAAAAGAAAGAGAAAGAGAAAAATTATGGTTAATCGACTGATTCTGATTCTTTAAAAAAAAGGGGAAAGTTAACCTTGAAAATTTTGCCAGATACTTCTAAGCCATACATACGACAGTAAACCAAAGTGAGCTGGATATCACAACATGAGGATCCACAATGCACAAGGAGGATGCACAATTGCACATCTCAACATCCAGAAGTATACTGTCATTTCACCCAACCTGTAGTTGACAATTGGAATGAACTACCGATGACAGCAGTGAATACACCAACCATTAACAGCCTCAACTCAGAGGTTGATGCTTATCTTGCGACACACAGCTCAACAAGTTTAGTTATACATGTAGGCCCAGCAGGTGTTAATCATGTTGGGTTTTCCCACAGTCGTCATTAGTGCTGTAACATCACGGATATCTCCAATTCCGTTTAACCGCCTGTCAAAACCGGACGGTTTTCGGTTAAACGATTTATTTAAAAAAAAAAAAAAAAAAAAAAAAAATTTTTTTTTTTTTTTTTTTTGGCCGTGTGAAAAAGCAGGAAGGTGATTTAACTGAAGGCGCCGATTTGTGCTTGTGAACTAGTCAGAAATAATAGTAACAATGTCGTTTTAGAATAATGTGTAAGATCATTAAAGTAAATTAAAAACAGTAGAGGACCTAGGATAGAACCTTGTGGTACACCATGTGTTAAACTTGGATGAATATATATTGAGATCTATTACAAAGATTACTTTCAAACCAAGATGACAGACAAATTGGAGTGTTGTTCTAGTTTCCAAGTGGTAAGTCATCACACCGATTACTGAGCTGGGAGACATTGCCAGGCATAGTGCCAGGTGGAGGGGCATAAATCGAAACTTTAAAAAAAAAAAAAAAAAAAAAAAAAAAAAAAAAAAAAAAAAAAATATTAAAAAAAAAAAAAAAAAAAAAAAACGGGAAAACGAAACCGTCCAATTGAAAACGGAATCCGCCATGGGCGGTCGGATACCGGACGGTTAAACGTTTGACTACAGCACTAGTCGTCATAAAGTTACAGATTTATTCTATCAGGAAATGATACCATTGCACTGGTGCTTTTGATGGGTGGGCATTAGGCCAAATAAAATAAAAAATCATGTTTAGCTTCCCCGTCTGCTTTCTTTTTTGAGTCCCTCTGCTTCTTCTTTTTTTATAATGAAAAAACATGAAAATCATACTGCTAAAATACTGAAATAATGTACTTGCACTGAAATGCAGCTTGTCTCTTTCTAATTCAATCAATGACTGATTCAATGACGGAAAAATCCAAAAGGACATAGATAAACTAGACATAGACTGTTACTTCATGTCTAAAAAACACAACAGGACTGAAATATCAGACAATTCGTCGCTAATTCATGATATTTTGGAAACTATCATGTCCATCACTCTGAAGATAAAAAAGACAAGCTAGAGAGAAATTATCAAATTTTATAGACGATTTAACAACCTACTAAACGCATCATGAGGGGGGGGGGGATGCGTTCCAGCGTTACAAACGTCTCTAATCAGACGATGCACAAAGAACTTTAGCTTACAATCAGTGCATCATGCGGCCATGGGCAGATCACTCATCTGATCTCAGCCTCATTTTCTTAAGTTGGCGTCTAGCCTAGCCGACATGGGCCCTTAAGGTAAGCTATCCTTTGTTTTCTATTCGCTCAATGCTATAAGATATTTGTGTGAGGAGCAAGCCTGCTATTTTCTGTTTTTTCCGATACCAAAATTATGATATTTCAGTCAAACCGGAAACCCTCTATTTGTTATGATTTTTTCACTTACCGGGTAAGTATTTCACTGAACTTTTTTTAAAGTTTGAACAATTCTCATTATCGTCATATTTAAGGTACCGTACAAACTGGAAATTTATTCTGAGATGTTCGTTGATTTTTCTATGTGATTACAATGCCCTCTGTGCGTCAGTTTTCAGTTATGTGTGAAGTACGTCACCTGTTTGAAGCAGGACGTGTCAAAATCTCTGTGGTGTGACGTACATGTAATATTACGTATTGACTTTGCCATTAAACTTAACAGTAGGGGCGCTGGTCCCAGATATGAGGATCGTCCTCATAAACAAGGATATCCTCATAAACGCTCTGGGGGTTTCATGTTACAGAACCGCTCGCTGGCGATGCCAAAAATGGATTCCCCGGGGGAAAATAACCCTAGTTCACCATCTACTGTTATGGGTTGTCCGTCTTCCCAAGGATTTATTGCTCTTAATCTGAAGGTCTCTGTACAAAGTCAATGTAGACCTCTAAATTGCATCAAGAAAATCATTGCAGAATCTGTTTTTTTACATTGCCAATGCACCAATAAAAAATATGAGACCTCTGCAAAAATGCAGACGATTTTTGAGGACGCATCGGTCCGTGTTTACGAAGATGATCCTCGTTTATGAAGACGATCCTTATTCTCGCCCCAGCGCCCCTACTGCTTAAGTTGCGCTTAAGTTACGTAGGCCCTCGTGCAATTGAATTCAAAGCGAATCGAGCACATTGGCCAATGAGAGCGAATAAACTCACTGTAGATCTACAGCGCTCAATGCGCAAAGTTCTTTGTGCGATGATGGAGGATCTTTCATCTTTCCATCCTGCCAAAGTCAGATTGACAATGACTGAGCAATATCTCTCTCTCTCTCTCAGTCTCTGTTTTTGTCTCTCCGCTTGACTGAGAATTGAGAAGTTTGCAAAGTCACATCACAGAGACAGACTAGATCTAGACTTCTAGTCTACACCGTCACTATGTAAGTTCAACTTGTGCAAGAAGGTGCATTTTCTTAATTTTTGCTCTCCTTCGTTCTCAAGTAAACGCACCACTAACGGCAATAACATTAGCTCACTCTCACTCTCATTCTATTTCTACTAGTAGTATGCATGCAGTGCAGTATAATCTACGTGCGTTCAGCAAGTCAGTGCATTGGCCGTGTGAAGAGCGCTTTCATGCCGTTTATGCATGTGGGCATTTTGAAGCTTTTGTCACACGCCATTCCGAATTCGCCTACAACTTTCAAAGAAACAACAGCAAGACAAAATCATATAATAAGAGGATGGAGAACAGCACAATAATTGGATGAATTGTTCTGATAAATCTTACCTTGTGTTCAGTGGTCATGATATTTGTAGTTTGAGTTCTTGCAAAAAAACTGAAAATTTAAGGGGGTTGATCGTATAATTTGCACACACAATGAATGAACGCGGGTACAATTTTCTAATTGGACAACAGAGGGCAGTATTACTTTAATGGTGCGCCCTCAACGATTTGCACGTATCGATATGCGTTTATTTACATGTAACGCCTAAATATTTTCATTGTCATAATAATTCATATTCCATTTTTTTTTTGCTTAGTCATCAAAATAAACAGTGGTGAATAAAGAGGCGAGGGGATCATTCTCCGTTGTGTGCGTGTGCTCATTTGGATGTGTGTATTTATCTGAGCGTTTTACAGCAAATAATAGTTTTTATACATTCTATATATTTTGGAGAACCCAATGACTCATGAATACATAATTTTTCTTGTTTAACGTGTTAAAATTTATATATTCTATTTTTCAATTTCATTGCATTTTAAGGTTTCATTTTCATCTTTATTTTATTTTAGCTCATTTTATGTTATTTTTATTTTTTATTTAGTTCATTTTATGTTATTTTTACTTTTTATTTAGTTCACTTTATTATATGTTATCATTTTTTCTAATTTTAGTTATGTACTCATCCTTATAATTTATTTATTTATTTGTTGGTTCATTCATGAAGGTTAATTTTGATTCAAGTTTTGGTTTAATCATACATTTTGTTGCTTGTGGTTTAATTGGCCTCTTGGATTTTACGCTCCTGCCTCGGACGGGGGGGGGGGGATGTATCAGCCTATGAATATTATTGTTTTTTCAACACTTTAGTATGAAAACTGTCGAAATAACGCCTGAATTACCCCTGGATATTGCATTCATGAGAGATTAAACTTTGATCAAGCATGATAAAAAATAATTCTCAAAAGGGAAAAGAAAGAATAGGAGAAATAAATGAATTGATTGGCATGGTTGGCGCAGAGATTTTTTAACCGTTATCACGACAGTTTCTCAAAGTCGTCGAGCGCCACCTTGTGTTAGTATCGCAATGCAGTTGAGCAGATGTGTTGTCATTATCTCTCGAGCGGTATAATGGTAGATCCCTTATATTATTGCGAACTACTTTTTCACTTTTCAAACACAATCCATGTCTAAACGGCCAAATTACAATGATTGTTGATTTGCAGCATATCATATTTGGGTTGGTAGTATGTCATTCTTCCGTTCAATAATATTACTTTCTATTTTCTTCTGACTATATTCCGATAACAATCTACGGAACAAAAATTATGAATAACCCTGTTGTTATACTGAACGGGTGGTTGTAAATCATTAAATCATCTTAACGCTGATGACATTCTCTCCACCCCGGCCACCTCCGCTCAAGAACGCTTCGGATACTGTAGCCGGCGATTTTTTCAATAAGTTCATGTTGTGGGGGCATTTCATATTCAATGGGGAGGGGCATTTTCCCCACCCTATACGGAAAATTCGGGATCTGCGTCTGAAAAGTTTCGACCGATATTCAAGTTAATCTAGCATTCTGTTTTGGGGCAATTAAAAAAAATCCAAATAAAGTGTAGATGACATCGCTCTATCTCTTTACTTTTCTTCCTCGGCCCCCATCTCCCCCCCCCCCCCTCTCTCTCTCTCTCTCTCTCTCTCCTCCCTCTCTCTCTCTCTCTCTCTCTCTCTCTCTCTCTCTCCCTCTCTTTCTTTCTCTCTCTCTCCCCCACCCTCTCTATTTCTCTCTCTATCATCGCTCTCATTCTACTAGCAAGCACCTGAGCCGGTATCCTATCTTAGTGTGATTTTCATGCTTGTGTCAACCTTTTCATCAGGCTTTCATGATGAAAATTAAACTGACATTATTGGTCGACTGCAAGTTCTCTCTAAACATGCTATCTTTGAGTTTATCACACGAACGTATTATCCATTGGAAGAAGAAAATGACTCCCACATCATGCCATAGACCAACAATTAAAGCCCCACTGCACTACTTATAGCTACTTGCGCCCTCGGCTATCTAGCAAACAATGCCTAAGCGGTGACCATTGGTACCCCATGGTCCCTTTTTTCTTATGTTAATTGAGAGCTCATGAGATAACCACTAGTCAGTGACCATGCAGGGAGGCGTAATCCCTCACGGCCAAACTAGTGTAAAAAGACTTCAAGTCAATTAATTCATACAAAACTAAAGGCCAGTGCATGGCTGTAACAATAATAATAATCTGGATATAATTATAAAGCTCTACATAACTCTACATAATCGCTTTACAGATATGGCGGAAAATATTGTTTATTATAACACTCTCATAAGCAACGCAAGTGGCGTACCAGATGGTGGGTTGATGATTTTCTTTTAAAAAAACACATCTCCCCTCCCCCCCCCCCCTGATATTTTTTTGACTTTAATGTCCCTCTCTCAGTGAAACATTGATGACTTTGTTGTTGTTGGTGTCATTGTCGCTTGTCATCCCTTTATGAGACTTTTACCCCTCTAACAAATTTATCCGACCCCGCCCATGTACACCCACCTACATCCCCAACCGCCATAAAAAAAAAATCATATTTAAAGATGCACGAGGCAAAGAGATAAAAATGATTTGGTTTACAAGCATGAATCATGATCGCCACGACAGCCAATAGACGCTTGGATTCTTCCACGATCTCTTCTTGTTTCCGTTTTAGGTTTGATGAAAGTTGTCACTGACCTGAATAATGAAGAAAAGAAGATCAAGAAGATAAAAAATAGCAGTCGAAATGTTTGGTTGCTTGGATGTGGATCACCTACATGCTGGGTGAAGGTTGTGGGTAGCAAACCAGAAAATCTACAGCTATAGATTTAATTATACCTCCATCTATTGTTATTTTGATTATAACTGTTATATGAAAGGGAAAAATGTACAATCATGTATAAGTTGAGATTTGTCTATGTTAATTGTTCATTGAAGTGTCTTGTATCGCAAATCTTGTTAATCTTATATTACTTATTGTGAGGATTTCTTGTAATATGAATTGATGAGGAAGGGGGAAAAATAGGGGGTGTCATCTTTTTCTCTCCTCCCTTAAACACAAACAAAACAACAAGAAATATTGAGAGTGAGAAAGAAGAGAGGGTGTAGTGTAGTAGTGGTGGTTATTCTACCTGACAGCTAAGAAAGCATAAATGCTTGTTAGTAAGCAACCAGAGGACCGACGGCTTTAGGTCCTCTCCGTGAGACCTGGTAATGAGGATTAATGCCTTACCGAAGGGCACTAGCGCATCGCCTTGATTTCGAACCCGGGTCATCGGATTACGAGACCACTGCTCTACCGACTGAGCTATCGAGATAGAGAGAGAGAGAGAGAGAGAGGAAGGGGACAGAGGGAGAGGGAGATACAAACAGAGAAAGAAAGCGAGAGGCAGAGAAAGAAGATGAGGGAGAGAGGGACAGGGAGATACAGACAGAGAGGGAGGAAGAGAGAGAGAGAGTGATAGAAGTTGTCCCCTCGGGGGGGGGGGGGGGGGCAATGATATCAAGTCGTGAGTGGGCGGAACGATATACGATCATTTGGAAATCGAGAACCCAAACGAACGCGCGTGGCTGAGGAGAGGAGGAAAACCAAATAATGCGAATCGGAATGAAATTGGCCATCCCGCTTTCCAATCGACACTTTCGATTGTTTCGTCACTCCGTCAGCGTCAAGTCCACGTGAGCGAGATGATGAGATCTCATTATTTCACGCACTCGTACATTGTTGTATGATCGGAGAGGGGGCCCATGACATATATAGCCATCCCGACATGAAACCATTCAACTAATCAAGTCTATTGCAGAGTCGTGGCGAACAGGAGTCGCATTCAATGATTTCTGCTTTTGTTCAGAAACTCTTGCTCCTTCTCCGTCTCTCTCCAATTCACCATCGTCAACAAAGTCGACCAACACGATGACGGCTTCCAGCGGGTGTTTTCCTTAGCTCATCGTCGTCACCATTCACCGATTGGCTTTTTTATTTTACGGAGTGCGAGTTTATTTTGGTTTCGAAACACAACAAGGAAAGTGTGATTTGGATTGTAAGCGTCGTCACAAAAGGACATCTTTTGGATATCATTCGATTGTATTTTCATCGTGAATTCTGATTATCTAAAGGTTAGCATTCTAAAGCAAGATGATGCTCCCTTCTCTATCTTCATCGGTAAGTATTCACTTCTCTAATAATCTGTTATGCTAAATCATAATTTGTATTACTCATTATAAGACAAAGAAGAACAAATAGATTGGACTCTCTTTGCATCCATCTCAAAACTAGAAATGTGTACTCCCCGTCAATGATTCATGAACGTTCTTAAAACTTGTTTAGAGTCGAGTACTAAGTTGAATTGTGTATTAATCTGTCTTTTGTATGGAAATACATCGCCGAGTTTGAGAGGAAGAAAATAAAATATGAAAGGAAAACAAAAAGGGGGAAAGTTGGTTTTCAATAGGAATTTTATTCATGTAGTCGTAAACATGGTACTAATTTCAAAATCACAGATACAGAAAAACAAACTAGAGGAGTAATTTCAAATAAACTCCAAGAAACTGTCACCATTAATGAAACATTGATTTACATACCAATCTAGACTGATTTTGATCTACATTTATCTTTGTTAAATATTAGTACCTTTACTGTTCTCGCTCTTCTTCTTTTGTCTTCTCTCTCTCTCTCTCTCTCTCTCTCTCAATTTGCGAATACAACTTTAAACGAATCGTCATGTTCAAATTTTAAGTTAAAACTCTATAATACGATATAATATCGTTAATTGGCAGTACATTATAGTAAAATACCTCCAACGAAACAGCGAACAGTTTGATGAATATTTTTCATCAAGATTTCTATATTGATGAAATGTTCTAAGTACATGCTAAACCATGGCACCTTGATTGTCAATGTTCACGTTCATTTGAAAAATTCTTCAATCATCCCCACAATATGATAAATATTATATAATTATTGCACTGTTCATTTGTAAAGCTGTATACCGGGACACGGTGTGCCCATTAGTACGCTTACTATAATAAGTAAGATCATATACCATAATTCTCTTGTGATAGATTCCAATGGACTTGGATTATTTTTTCTTGTTTTTGTCTGTTAAAGTGTATCCTTTAAATAATGATGATGCATGGTG